ATTCATGTGAGTTAGTTGTGTATCCTTCCTTTCTCCTCAATAATTATTCCAAAGCAAAGTTGCTAAATACTTTTAAAGACAGTTATTTCATTTTTAGAAAGGACATTATCTAATACTAGCTGTTACCCACGGGCTCCCCCCCCCCCTTTTGACTTCATAAGTATATAATAAAACTATTGATTGGTTAAGTTAAGCTGAAGTAATCAAAACAGAATACAGTAAGGCCCAATTCACACCGAACGGACGTCGGGCGGAGACGTGGCACGGACGAGGCACAGACGTGGCAGTGACGTGGCGTGTTCAATGCACACCGAAGGGACGGTGAAGGGACGGTACAGTGGCGAGACAACCTGTATGTAGACTAGACGCTTTGGGTTTTGCTTATTTCTATTAATGTCAATGGTGTTAGTTAATTTCTGTCAACTTAATTAGTACAAACAAAAGAATTGTTCTACTTCCTCACAAAATTTGATATTAAATTCAATGTCGTCTCGCTTAGTGAAGAAACAACTCACAATCTACACACAAAAACAACTCTACACAACAAGGTTGGTGTCCGTTCGGTGTGAATTGGGCCTAATGCAGGGCCGCCCCGAGGGTAATAGACGCCTGGGGCGAGATTTAAATCTTTGCCCCCTCCCCAAAAAAGGGATTTGGGGGTTTTGCGTCAATAGACCGATATGGAATGTTTTGCAAGTATTTTTTTACAAACGTAACAACTATGCTGAACTAAATTACAAAAAACATTGAATTTACAACTCACAACGGACATCACGAAATGACTATGAGATGTAAGAGTTTGAGGTTAGAAACAAGACAGTGTAGGTGGGACGTGTGGGTGAATACGCACTACGCAGTGCGTTTCAGTGTGTGTCTCGGACTCCAGACGTAAAAGTAGTAATAGTACGAGTTGTATATTAAATAACGGTATTTATTTTATGAATAAAACGAAAGCTATATATTGCCTTTTTTTAGAATAGTTATTGCCATTGATAAAATATTTAAGAGTTTCCCGTAAAATGAAAACTTATATATTAATATAATACCCCCGCCGCAGCAAACCTACAGACTAAGCGAATTTCCGTTAACCTGATTGGATTTACACTAAAATGCCTCCATAAAAATATCACATTTATTTCTTATTTAAATAGAATTAGTTTAACGAGTACTTAGGTTTGCTGCAACAGGGAGGGTAAAAGTATTTTTTGTAAAATGTTAATAGTTTAGTAAGAAATGAAAGTATTTTCCAAATTCGATCAAAATATGTTCATAAACAAGCAAACTACAACAGTTGACTTATTCTCCATAAGAATAACATGGGAATTTTTAATTTACAATTTTTTGGAATTTTCTCTGTAACTATTAGGCACACAACAACGCTTCAGTATACTAAATTATTTGTTTTTTTAAGCTCTACAAAATGGTTTGGAAATAAATTGTAAAATTTTCTGTTTTTAGGGACAAAAATAGGAAAAACCTATTTTAACCCCATAAAACCCCATATAAAACCCCGTTCCCATAGTCCGATCATGCTGGTTCGCGAACTCGTTCAAATAAATGTAGGTTTACACGTTTATACCAAATTTCATCAAAATCGGATCATTTTTGCTCGAGTTATCGCGCTAACGGACACATATATATATAAATATATATATATATAAATATATATATATATATATATATATATATATATATATATGAATTTGAACAGATGGTGTTTTTGGCCTCTAGGGACCTCAAAACGAAAAAGTAAATCGGTCCCTGGTCCAGGTCTTACCATGAGTACTACGGTAATAGCTTATTCCCTATATGGGAAATTCGCTAAAATTAAACACAAACCTTCTATTAATTGTTGTTACATAACCCTTTGCATTTCTCCACCTTGTGTGGCATCTTCAGGGTCTTCTTAATCACTTATCGCTAACACTTCATAGTCTAAACCGTATTTACAAAATACTAAAAATACCGGTCACTTACCTAACAACAAAAACAACATAAACAACAAAAATTAGTTTTTGTTAATTGGGGTTGTGGTCTTTTTTTCTTCACTGGAAAGTACAGTTTGTTATCACTCGTGTAGTTTGGCTTAGACAAAGTTCAAGCTGTATATATACACCTTACAGATGTTATGAGAGATATGTAAAACTATAGACAATTAATTATCAGGAAGTAACCATGGATTTAAAATATAGTAATTTAAATATGAATTTAAGTAAATGTTCACTTGTAATTAGCTACTTACTCATTTTTTTAACACAATATTTTTCCACAACATTATAATTTATGAACATGCAACAAATATCAATTCAAAGAAACGGAAAAGAATACACCTGAAACTGGGTTGCTTTGGTTTAAACTTTTTAAATAATGCACTTCAATTTCAGAACTGTTTCATAAGGTAACAGGAACAATACTGACTTATTTTAATTAAATCCTATCATAATCTGTTTACCTGCAGAGAAAATTAGTGCAGAATAACTTTTGTAAGACAAGACAATAAGTTTAAAAAGATATGCTAATTTCATAGATGAATGTATGAATTTACAATTCAATTTCAAACTCCTTTTGTTTCTAATGTAGAGCTGTTCTAATGGTATAATTTCTTCTGGTTACTTTTACAAGTTCAATTGTTCATGTGGAGGGTTGCCATTGTGTTTATACTCACTTACAGTAGACGTTAGAGTGAGGTTTTGTGATAACATGTTAAATTACGGCACTCGAGTAATCTACTAAATGTTTCCACTGCAATTGAAACTGAACACAATAGATTTTACAAACCTTCCTTTTTAGTCTTGGGATCCAAGGCAAAACTCCTCTGGCAAGCAAAACTTTTAGAGGTACACTATCCAAGTGGCACTACCATATCAGAGGCTATATTGCTGGAATGCGTGAGGAAGTGACATATAACACACTATGTCAGCATCTGATCAGCATATAACTGTTTGTTTTCATCGTGTTGTAGTTATCTGCAGAATTGACTTTCTGTTGAAGAGTGGCTCTGACCATCATTAACCATTTATTTTTTATCAGCACAAGTGGTGTTTGAAAAAGTTAAGTCTGTGATCTAATTTTTGTACCAGGTTGAGAACGGTGATATTTTTAAAACTGTCATTAAAAAAAACAAAAAAAAAATCTTATAAGTACTCAACAATTCAACTACTAAGGGCTTTTGTGAGATTTAATGGGGATTTGGGTTGAACTGTTAGTGGATGTATTTACTGCTTGTTCCGTTGAATAATTTAACTAATGGTAAACAAAATAATACTAACCAAAGGTTTGAACTAAGATCGGTTTGTTTATTAAAAAGTCGGAAAAATGTTTTTATGTTTCAAAATGTGAGTATAACGTTTATTTTAGTTTCACAAAATATTATTGTTTACCATTTATAATTTCATTATAATTCAGAGTAGATGTATTATACATGAGTGTAGAATAATACTTGCATAACTTTGTTACAGGATTAGTTGTATCTTTAGTCAGGTTTTATTAAAAGTGCAATGATCAAGGACAGCTAGGTCCAGTTTCCAGTCGAACCATAAAAATACCACTGACTTTGTTAACCATCAGTCCAGTTGTACCGGTTCTTTTACTAACATTAGGTTTTTTATTTAAATAAATTAACTTTTTGTCTGGGGTTTTGTTATTTTATGATTCTCAGCACATTTAGTTGCAGATTAAACTAATTGTTTATTACTATAGCTCTGTAATGGTTTATCATTATGCCGTCCATAACTGACTACAACCATTGACTATTTATATCTATTGTATATTAGCTTTGACTAATACAACGTCAATGATATTAGTCAATGCTAAAACTATCTATGTGTACTATAGGTCACCCCGTGGTCGAAAACTTGACAAAAAATATGTATTGAGCAAACTTTTCTGTTTTCACCCAACGCTGTAAATAAAACAGCAGTGATTGGGATTTCTTCTATTTGTTTTGATTTTCTTTATATATTTTTTTGTTATTTCGCTACCAGCATGGCAACCCATAAGGCGCATGCTATTTTTTAAAACTTGCATTCATTTTTGTGCTTATTTTTGCCTATTTTAATGTATAAAGGGATTCTGCACATCTACAGGCAAAATATGTTTCTAACAGTATACGTAGATTTTACCTGTGATGCACACAAGCTGAGAAAAAAGGTTTTCAAGAAACATGCCTGCCTATTAGGATATTCATCAATTTAACGATATTCTGATCTTGAAAATTTAAATTATTGATAACTTTAATATTGTACGGATATTTTGAGAGCCCCGCTCTATTTTTCTAACCGTTTAGCCAGGGCTCGTCAGGAATACAAGCTATGAGTTATGACGCACACCAACATACAGATCTCCTGTAAAACAAGGTTCAATGTTTCTAGAGACCCCAGAAACATCTCGCTTCTCAGGGTTCTTGAGAATTGTTTTTGTCTAGCTCTCGGGTCAAACACATAACCAGAACAGAATTTGTCTCCAGGACTCAACTTATGGCGTGTCAACGTATGTGTAGGGTTGGCAAGTCATGTACCAAAAAATAACAAACAAGAGAGCTAATTTATGGGTATTATATATATAGTATATAGTATGTGTATTGGTATACAATGAACATTTCAGTTGTGAACTAATTAGCTTAAATTAAGTATTAACAAAATGTTGTTCATCACATAGACTAAATGTCTTTTCGACCCTAACGTTAAACTAGAGCTCACGTCAAATAGTGTCACTTAAGTGCCCCAGTGATGAAATATACTATTATGTTAATATTCTGTGTCAACCTTACCTTCTCTTGAAAAAAAGGTTTGCTAACAGTGGTGTAGTGGAGCGTAAACGTGTGGAAACGGTGATTCCACTCTGGTTGTTCAAAAAATCCTATACTGTATATTAATAGACAGCCCATATTTTTCCCGACACAAAGATAAATTTTTCCACACCAGAAAATTTACGACCACACCACTGTTAATAAAGAAGTGTTATTATATTTATTGTTAGTTTGAATCAAGATATGTTTGCAGATTTCTGCCTGACAAGTTCAAAGGATCAACAGATCGTCCGCCATTACAACCCTCTGTAAGGGACATATACCCTCAAGTGAGTGAGTATTGCCATGTTTTCCTTTTTGCTTTTAATTATTTAAATCGAATTTAAATTTGTCTGTTTGGATTTTAAGTCAAATATTTCCATAAACAAGTCATATTTATTTATTACCTACTAGCTGTTGTATCTGTGCTCCGCAACGGGAAGAAAATTCAGTTTGAAGAAGGGTTGTCCCATTAACATCCTAACTATGATAGTTATAACTATCTCTGGGTTGATACAGTAACGGCTATAGAATCTTTTTTTTATTTTCATAATCAGTGACAAAGTTTTAAAATAAACAAACCTACCCCATAGGACAGTATCTCGAGTTCAAAGAAGAAATATTGAAAACAGGAGGAGGAGACAGATAATAATAATACAGTATATCTTAAACGTGTTTGAGGAGAGTAGACAAAGGGAGGCCTGGTCTAACAGATATCCAGATACACATTCACTTGGTGAGATGAATAATATTTGCCAGTTCTGCTATGCAACTTACTTTGGAAGTAAAAAAAAATAAGAAGCACATAGTGTTGACTAGCGTCTAGACTGCCAGTGCAAGTCCCAGGAACGGCCGATCGGAGGATCGTGGATCAGATCATACCGGCGCATCAGCATAGCTTATCTAACTGTTCGCGGAAAATTGTTATATGTATCACTGTCGCTGTCAAAACGTATAATTTGTAGATTAAATTTGAATTAAATATAATTAAACTATCATAACCTAACCAAACTAACCAAACTTGCAGATAATGATAAACTCGAATGAAGGTTTACTAATCGAAAAATAGCTCTGTTCTAAAAATAAAATTATAAATGTCTCAAATTCAATTTTACAATCTTTTAATTATAAAATTAAACTGTCATAACCTAACCAAACCAACCAAACTTGCTGATATGAAAAAAATTGTTGACAAAAAGTTAGTGCTCCCAGTGGGATTCGAACCCGGCACCATCAGATTATCAGCCCGACACGCTATCCACTACACCACAAAGGCTCATGACTCAGTTCAGTATCGTTGCAGTAATGGTTGACGTCACGCCACGCCTTCGGCACTGAGCGGTGGTGGGGGGTTTTTCGATCTGATCCACGATCCTACCGATCGGCCGATCCTAGGAGTTGCACTGGCAGTCTAGATGCTTATCATAGTGTTGTCATGGTGGTAAAGTAAACTTGCCTAATGTCAGATCAAATGAATGCACACTAGAAATGTTTACTTCTGACACTGATAGATCGAGATATTTCAAAACATTTAGTAAAAACTATAATGATGGCTTGGCTATGATAAGTTCAAGTAGTAAGATTATACCAAATCTTGGCGGACCTTATGTTTTTATTTTGAACGTTTGTATTACTCGCTCTACTACAATTGAGAAAAACGCAAATGGATTGTTTGCTTCTAGTTTATGTTGCCAGTTCCTCAGACAAACGTGTACAAAGTTTTTTTACTGAATTCACCAACACAATCCAGACATTTCAAGTCAAAAATAGGAAGTTTCAAAAACTCATTTGCTATTAATGCTAAGAAATTGGTATAATTGAACTGTTTATGTATAGAGTTATCCAACTTATTTCGACAAATGAATCCATACTTTCAAAACTTTGGGACAGGTATTAAGGGAAACTTGACTGAACAGCGTGAGAATGTTCTGTTGCGGGGCATATAAGTACTGTGACTGACTGACAACACGTTAAAATACGTTAACCTACTTTCAATGGTGTTACTGTGCTGCTTTAGGATTTTATGTTTTAAGGGTTAAAAATGAGAAAAACCAATTTTCACCCCTTAAAACCCCGTGTACCCATGGTCCGATCATGCTGTTTTGCGAACTCATTCAAATTTATCCCACCTTACACCTTTAAACCAAATGTCATCAAAATTGGACAAAAATTACTCAAGTTATCACATTCAGAGACACACATATATATACTTTTATAAACATTTGAACGAATAGTGTTTTTGGCCTCTAGAGACATCAAAATGAAAAAGTAATTCGGTCCCGGACCTAGGTCTTACCGTGCACCCTACGGTAATAGCTACTTCCCTATAGGAAAATTTGCTAAAAAACACAGTACATTTATATTTCATTGAGTTTTTCACAGGTAAACCTGAATGTTTAATAGTTTAGTCACAACTTGACAGTAAAAGAAAGTAGCTTCTGTGGACTTGGAATATCCCCATTATCATAATGATAACATTCAAATGAATCAAGGTCAAAAGTCAAACAGGAACTTGTAAGGTCATTGACAGTAAACATTGTGACCAAGGTGTTGTTTTCTGTACATTTAAGGAATGAATATTTATTATTTTATGCTTTAGAGAATATTTTATTCTGTAGTAACTTAATACAAATTTAAATTTGGGGTTATAATTATATTTTTTATTATATAATTATATAATTAGTTTATAATTATATAATTAGTTTATAATTATATAATTAGTTTATAATTATATAATTAGTTTATAATTATAAAAATCTCTAAATTTTTGTTTTAGCACACAACACAAAGGTGCTTTAATTTTCTTCAATCAGATTTGTGGTTAATTGCATCTATTCACTTTTTAAGAGGAAAATCCACCATCGGATTGTTAAAAATTTGTTTTTAGATTACATAGTAATATTAAATTTGTAATTGACCTATTATTAGTATTATACAATGAGTGTTATCTGATCAAAGTTATTTCTGAAAAAAAATTACTGTTAAGATTTGTATGAGAAAGTCTATTTCATTAGTATGAAATATGATTAATAGATTTTAGACTATCAGATAATGTCTGATTAAGAGATTCTGGAAGGAGGGTAAAAAAATTAAATAATAATAAAATAAGATCTTAAGAGGCATAATTTAAAAAAATTTACCCAAAGTTTAATGGTGATTGGATGGATAGATAGTTTGGTGATTTTACACGATATTTAGAAAATTCTTAAAGGACACAAATTCTAAGGACAGACGTTCTTTTTTAATTAATGTATCTATAGTGTGAGAATACATACTATAAAAACAAAAGTGAAGTTTTGTAGTGTGTCAAGAAATGTAATGTATTCCTGCTAGATTTATTTCATGCCTAAGAAGAGAGGATGGAATAGGTCCTAACAAAAAAATTGGTTTAGTATTACATAAGCCCATCAATGATCCGCCTAACCAGTTGTGTTACCTGAACCTTGTGGTCCTTCGATCCTGCTGGTGACCAATCCTTGAAAACAGGTCCTTGATCTTCATCCGGTCCCACAGGACCAGTTAAATAATCATTGGAATGTCACTAATGCCTCAACGGTACATGTAGGGGTTTTTACACTGCCTCTGTTAAAACTATCTAGATAGTGAAATAAAATAGTTGTAATTAAACTCCCAGATAGTGAAATAAAATTGTAGCAACCTTTAAAGTTGTCAGCAAATTACAGTTTTGCAATAAACTGTCAGAGCAAACATGAAAAGCTTCATAACCTTTACAGCAACCTTTCTACTTTCATATGGACAAACTTGTTGGCAAAGTCGCAACTAACTGCTAGATAAAACCCACACAAATTAGTACGGATAATCCGTGCGTGGCAACTTATTTGCAAATTTGTTGTAGTTCAAGTGATGGATCATTTTTAGAGCTTTCAGCGCCGAACTATTGAACTAACATAATATTGTTCCCTGCAAAGATTTAACAATGCTTTCTAACGTATCAAGAAAGTCATCACAGCAATTTACTGAAAAGTTTGTAAAAAGGTTAAGCAAAAATTTGACCCATATCCAGTAAACGGCAATTTTGCCAAAAAATTGTGTGCTATATGGGACATTTCTCAAATTTCTTTCATACGGTAGTCAAATCACTGAAGTATAATTAAAAATACCCCCGCCGCAGCAAACCTGCAGACTAAGCGAATTTATATTTGCCTGATTGGATTCACACTAAAATGCCTGGGTAAAAACTGAGTTTTGTTGTTTTTATTCCCCCCCCCCACAAAGTAATAGGCATTATACCAAATGTTCAAGCGAAAGTTTATGCGGCAAACAATACATACCATTCTGTAGGGTTATCAAATCTTATCTGGTCACATGTAGTGTTATAATGAATGCCCTCCGATCTTTCCTTGTGTAGTAAAAATATACTTTCACTCGATTGTTCAACTGATCTATCAATTTTGTTTTTACCAGATTTGGGTCAGGTTACATCACTGATAAGCACCCTTTTGATCTTCCGAGGTGCCACAATTACATTTCAAGATTACTTAAAGTTGCAAAGTTGCATAACAAGAGGTATTCTTCAAATAATAAGTATTGTGTGATTTTTACTCTGGCAAAAACTCATTTAAATTGCAAAACTGATAAGACTTGTTTTTATTTTTTATATAAAAAAATAAAACAGTACCAGGTGACCTGCTTGATGGTGTTTAATTTGTTTAAGTGGTTAAATGAATGTAAAACAGGTATACAATTTATGGTTTCCAAAAAAAATCTATTTCGGACAGTAAAATGCAGTTAAATAATGTCTAAAATTTACAATACAACAAAAAATATGATTTAATACCGGTACTTGTATTGAATTTGAACAAATTTCAGTTTCGAATCCACTAACTTAATTTGTTTGTTAACTTCACTATCTTATCTACAGTCTATCGTCACTGTAACTCCTAGATATTTATACTCATTTACTTATTAGAATTCAATTTCATTTACCGGTATCTTTTTAGAGTTATCAATGGTGCTAATAACTAAAAATAGAAAAAGACCTTTAAATCATACCTCTAATCCATTCCACTTTCACTTGCATTATGGAGAGAGGCCATAAGCTATGTATTCCAAATTGCAATTTTGGCGATATTAGTTATATACTTTATATATCAGAACCCTTGAAATGCTCCTATTTTCCCTATGCCTTTTCCAATTAAATTTGACCATACCATATTCAAACCCAATTAAATAGAAAATCTATGTTATTTAAAATGATAAAGGTATAAGTAAAACTCCATTTTAGCATCTTTATGAGGGTTGTAAAGACAGTTGACTATACTGTATAAACAATGACAATAAACTTGATGTTTCCAGCAATATTGATAGCACAACTTCTACAATCTCCTCAGACTTGTACAGATGATGGGGAAAATTGAAACGAGTTAAGGGCTCTGCTTAAGAAAGCAAATGGTGTGTGTGTCTTGAAGTAAATGCAGAAAAAGAAAACATACAAGAGTTTACAGAGGGACGGTAGACAATGAGCTAAGTCAAGTGTCTCTAACACTAATCACTGTCAATGCATGTTACAGATTATCGCATCATGTTTCGCCCACCTACTTGTGATCCAAGCAGGTATCAACATGGCTTACTCGGCTATCCTGCTGCCTCAACTGATGTCACCTGACTCCACCCTGCGAGTCACCACCAACGAGGCATCGTGGATAGGTGAGCTATCACTTATTTTACTTTCCATTCAACATTTTGAACTGACCCTGGATGATTCTTATGTGTAATTTAGAGGGAAAATACAGGGAGCGGCAAAATGATCTGACGGATTTCTTTGCCGTCCTGTTGAGCGAGTGAGTGGCGGAGGGTGGTGGGAATAGGGGCGTTACAAAGCCTACGTGCGAACATTTTTAGTAGCCATGGACCTAGGGACAGCTGAGCACCATGCATTTGTAGTGGAAGTGTTTTTTAAAAGTGACAATTCCTGTGTAGCTGTTCAGCTGCAGTTCCGTAGACGTTTCAATGTGGGCCCAAGGGGAAAAGTCCCAACTCGAAATACCATTTTGCTGTGGGTGGGTAACTTCAGAGCTACTAGTTCAAAAAAAAGTCCAACAGGTCCAAGGTCAGCCCGGTCGCCAGAGAACATCGAAAGAGTGAGAGAAGGTGTGGAAGCTAGTCCTCAGCGGCCTGCACCACAGAAAACGTACAGTAGTATGTTTTCTGTGCCTGCACGTAAATAAGCTGCAGCTCTGCACATGTCTGGTCGCTCGGTACGGCACGACCCGCACTTTCATTTATACAAAATGGCAATCGTGCAGCAGTTGAAGCACAGTGGTTACATAAAGCGCATCTTATTTTCACAAGTGATTGATTTATTTACACGTGACAAAATAGGCATTATGAGCGACGAATCGCACTTTCAACCACTTCTTGACGTTCTCTGGCGTCTGGACTGACCTTGGATGGCCTGTTGATTTTAGTTTCAATGCTGAACTAGTAGCTCTAAAGCTACCCACCCACAGCAAAATGGTGTTTCAAGTTGGGACTTTTCTTCTATGACCCACATTGAAATGCTTACTGAACAGCTACACAAGAATTGTCACTTTTAAAAAACACGTCCACTTCAAATGCATGGTGCTCAGCTGTCCCTAGGTCCATGGCTACTAAAAATGTTCGCACGTAGGCTTTGTAACGCCCCTATTCCCACCACCCTCCGCCACTCACTCGCTCAACAGGACGGCAAAGAAAACCGTCAGATCATTTTGCCGCTCCCTGTATAACTGGACATTTAGTACACTGGGATATAAAAGTGTGTAATTTCTTTTACATTCTAAACATATATCAAGAAAAACAAGGCTTGAGCCTTTACAGTACAAAAATGAACAGTATACCTACTGATACATTTTAGTAAAAGCACCAGGATGTATATGTAAACTGTTGAAATTGACATTGCTGAAATATATTTGTAGTCCATCGTCTTACCGACTGAGTTTCCGACTCACACACTCACATTGGGAACATTTATCGACTGGACATTGGAGCTGTCTATGTATATTTAGAAGTATATTCAAGTAAGTTTTGGTTGAAACATATGATAGATTTTTTGTCAACTGGAATTCCAATATTTGACAAAGGCCACCTGATAGGCCCTTACGTAATAACAGTGACCACCATAGCAAATGTGCTAAGAAAATTACTCATTACAAATCAAATATCTTCAAAGCTACAAGGTAGCAAGGTAGGTGTCTCAAACTAGACTGTGGAATCTTGGTTTTTCTGAGTTAACTGCATCACTGAAATATAGAAAATGCTGACATTTCTGATGTGTTGCAACAATTGAACTGTTGAGTGTAAAGTGTTTAATACCTTATGAGAGTGTTGTTCTGTGTAGCCAGTCTCATGGCCATCTCTACACCTGTGGGGACTCTGCTGTGTGGTCCGTTCATGGACCTTCTGGGACGTAAAGTCTTTTCCCTCGTCACAGTAGTGCCTCTCGCAGCCTCTTGGTTCATCCTTACTTTCACTCCAAACCACGTCTGGTTCATCTATGCGGCCCGGGTCCTTGCTGGCTTTGGTGGAGGTTGGTAACCTTGGATTTCTTTAAACATACATAAAAACCATAATCGAGTGTGCTAACAAACCGTGAATACTGTCAAATAATAATATGACAAATCACCAACGAACCAAACAATAGATTTTATTGTAGGATATGGAGGATTTTTTCCTATTGAGTTTTATTAAATTGATGTTTTGTCCATATTGATTTTTTAATTTGAATGTTTGTGACACATTAATAAACTCACTTCATAATGTAAAAACTCCCATAACTTAGGCACTGCTAAATTTACCCTATTTATCTTCAACGCTGAGATACAGGATGAAAAGAATTAAAAAAGAAAACCAATTGGTGTAACATGATTCCTAGCCATTACTACTTCATTGACAAGGAATCAGGCTGAAACAATATAACCATTTTGAGAAATGTTTAAATATCTTGTTTAAATATTTGTATATATTATTATTTGTAAACTATTTATTATGTGTAAACTATTAATTTATAATGCATGATTTGTACTGGTCTATATAATATTCATTGCTGATATTCAACCTCTGTATTGTGAATTTTCGTGATGAAGAAAATGTTGTACTTATTTGATGTTTGTACAGTGAAATAAAATCACATTTAAAAATAATCTAAGAACTCTAGCGGGGTGACAGATAACAGGGAGCGACGATTAATAAATGTTCTAGGCTACTGTATTTTCTTTTTTATGAAAATAGCTGGTCCTTTTAATTGGACATCTTCAATTTATACAATCAACCACAATATTTAAAATGGGAATTATTTATGTTTGAAAAATGGTAATCTTCTTCTTTTTTTCCAGGTTTGACAACGGTCTCCTTAGTGTACATCTCAGAAATTAGTTCTGCCTCTTGGCGGCCCATGCTACTGTGCCTTAATTCTGTATTTGTCAGGTACTACCCTAGTCAGATAGAATCAACTTTTTAGGTCTAATAATAGATCAAAATTATAACTGAAAAAAACATATTAATGAAGTACCATATAAAATTGATTCTGGTATTAATGCTAATAATTCAAAAATGTTTCTTCATCGATCTAAAAATATTGAACCCATTATTATGTCTATAATTCTCACGTTTCTTATGGTATTCGTTTCTTTGGAGCAAGTAAAATAAATTTAGATTGAATTTTAAAATATTAAAAAAACATTCAAAGTATGTAACAAAAATAATATTTAAGACTGTAAAAGATTAATCAGTTACAAATACCTATTGTTTATGGACAGTAGTAGGTCTATATTTTTACTCAATTTTAATCCAACCAACCTAAACCAATAAATAAAACTGGGATGAGAATACTTGGTGACAAAACAAGCTTAGATTAATTCTTTTTATATACTTACTTGTTTATATCTTGTTGAACGTTTTCTAAAATACCTCATTAAAAACTTACGAAAATAACCCTAAAAAGTTTAAAACAAAACTACAAGATTCCCTTATTAGCTTTACCATTTATTACTTAGAGAAATTTTACATCTTCCTTGAAAACATTAACATTAGAGAATGTAAATAATATTAGTTTAGAGTTATTATTAAAGTGTCGAATATTGTACTTGTTTCAGTCTGGGTATCCTGTTGACCAATGTGCTGGGTGTGTTGCTGCCGTGGAGGGTCGTGTCTCTCATATGTGGTTGTATCACTCTAGCTAGTGGAGCGGCCATTTTGCTGTACAACCCTGAGAGTCCCTACTGGCTACTCACCTTCCGCCCAGACAGCACCCGACACTTTGACGAGGCTAAAAGATCTCTCCGTTACCTGTACAACAACCAACAGGTAACAGTTTTGGTATAGGTTTGTACGAAGGCTTTGTAGTCAATCGCTGTTGAAGTTCATTGCCAGGTGATGGACGTGAATGGAGTAAAGTAAGGGTTCGGACGTAAAAAATTTACCTGGAGGGAGTTTGGGGGTTGTCTTAAATATTGGCATGATGTCTTCCATGGTGTAGGCCGACTGGCTGTTGTTCATTAATCTTGTTTGAGGCAGTGACCAAAGTTAGTGAAATTTCACTGGCAGTAAATGGATGAGGGAGATTGCCGAAATGATTGGGGAATTTTACCAAGGATGAAGGTAAACTTAATTAGTTAGAAATTATGGAAAAGCCAATTGGTTGATTAGGATCATTGAGTACTGTGTATACTGCATAAGGTAAGGATAGGGATCTGCTAGCTTACCTGATGGATAAAAACCAGATTAGCTTTGGTAACACACACAAAACTAAAACACCGTCCCTGTTGGGGACTACATCAGGAGGGAGAAGAAGACTGGCAGTAATTAAAGTTCAAATTTAAAAGTTCCACAACAGTGCTGCCAACTGTAGTTTAAATTTAAATAAAAGTTCCTGTTGCTATGTCCATCTATATACACTCACTCACATACACAAAGTAGGTGTATATTGTTGCCTTTCATTTATTGTTTTGCTTAGTTTAATTCAAAAGAAAATGTGAGTCAGCTAGCCTAATTAGTAGTTCTTATACCTCAGGATCGTTTTTATTAGGGTGCGGGAGCTGTGTGAATAGAATGATACTAAATCAATTACAGAAAGAGTAATTTAATGTGATTTAGAATTTATAATAACTGTGATTTTACATAAGTACAATGAATATAAGAGTTAGCATCTTATAACCTCATATAGCCTCTTTTAAGGCCTCTTTTATGCACAACGTTTTCTTTTGGACGGAATCCATTGGGCGTTTCGTCGGGCAGTTTTTTACCATGGGATCAAATGGGACCCTTTTTCACAACGGAATCTCCATCGCGTTTCAGCGTTCCGTCCAGGGTCGGGCGGAGGACTTACGCTCCACCGAGTTTCGGGGTACCGTCGTGGCGTTTTTTTTACATAGGATCAAATGGAACCTAAAAAATGCCAAAAAAATTATAAAAATGCCACGGCGTTTTCCTTCGGGCGGAATGCAGCACTGACAACCTACCCCATGCTCTGTCATCCACAGTATCGAAATCGCCTAACCATTGTAAACAGATGATCATTATAATGGTTCGAGGATACAGCTAACCTAATTGCGAAAGAAACTTACGTTTGTTTAAATCCTCAGAATAATATAATCATTTTGCAGCACACCATATAAGTTTGTGAAAGCTCCAACCAGTCTACGACTTTGATTCACCAGATGTACAGCCAACCTCCTTCGTCGTCGTCTATTTTTCTTCACACATAAATAGTTCAAACCCGATAAACAAGGGTCTTTCTTGTCTTGTGTGACTGATAATGGCCATTGTAGCACCATTTTACTGCCACCTTGTTAAACCATTTGTAGCACTATGTTACCCCCACCGCCGACATCATAAAAAACTAGCGGATTCCGCTCAGCGGAAAAACTGCATAAAAGGTGTCTAGATTCTGCCCGACGATGCCCGAAAACGTCGTGCATAAAAGAGGCCTAAGAGGCTACTCTAAATTTTGGATGGGAACAATTTTAGGTTAAACCTACACCTAACTTAAAAACTAGATGGAAAAAGAAACACAGAAGTTAATGGAGTATTTTATCAAGAACTTATAATATATTCAAGGTTTGTGCTATATATTCATAATTTACATTAATGCAGAAATGATTTAGATTTTTGTAAAATAGGCCATTGACGTATGGATCTGCCAATGTCACCAAATTTAGCACCGACCCCCCCCCCCCTCCCCCCTAAACATGAGGTACCCCGTTCACACATGTGAAAAAATAAGCCCTCCGCTCCACATTATTTCTAAAACTATAAAAAGATTGATATAGGTAGATATTGAAATAATTCAAACTGTGCCGATTTTAAATTCAAAGATTTAAAATCCGCGCCAGGCAATGGACAAGTCAGTCCAACATGACGTAACGCGGAGGAATACTACACTCGAACCGTGTCGCGTGCAAACGTCTCGTCGTCACTCGTGGCTCAGTAATCGCGTAGTCAACATGTGAAGTCGCGTTTTGTCGCTGGTGTAGGACGAATTTATTAATATCTTAATTCGTAGCTCGGAAATTAGCGTTCGGGCGGAAATTGTACGTGTATCAAACGATCGCAATTGTCAAAATTTCGCCGAATTGCATTTGGGGGTGTGTTTTATTAGTATTAAGTCGAGACAGTTGAGATGCCGGATTGATTGTTCGCGTTCGTGATGAAAATTCGTACATGCATCATATCGATAGCAAATGTCAGTTTCTAGCAAATCGCGGGTCGTCGTGAAGGTATTTTCAATTGAATCATTAAACGCCAGCTCGAAAAAACAAGAATTAATAAGTCCTACACCAGAAAAAACCGTATCGTGATGTTCCGCTCGGTCAGACAAAAAGTCACAAATTACCACGAGTCAGTTTTTAAATGTTCGGTACGCGTGAATCTTCGTCGGAATGAATGTGTATGTGTCGACATGTGTACGTAAGTAAATGTTTGTGTTATTTGTGTTTTAGTATTAAAATAGTCTTGCCAATCTGCCATTTTTTCACATGTTCCACTAGCTTTACAAGTCAGAAATCATGTCATAGCTGGTCTGAAAATTTCATGTTTCATTTGGTATACCTTGAGCACATGGTCACAATTCAGGATGAAAAATGTTTAATTGAATTTTATCACGTTATGCAAAGAATTTAAGTTACATTAGTAATTATAGTCAATTGAAAATTATTTATTAAATTAAATTGAAATGGTCTATTATTTTTAAGAACAATGATTGTCTGTGATATTATTATTTTGTGTTCTATGCAAAGGTCAAATTCTATCATCATCAGTATTATTATTTATAACGTTTTGTATCTCATATAAGGTAATAATTTTGAATAGAGTGTTACATTTTTAAATAGTGAGAGTTTGATTGTGTAACGTAAATGGGGGTAACAGAGTGCTCGGTCGAAGGCTAGGGTTGACAAAAGGTCATGAGGATAGACTCCCATTAAATTCATAAACATTAAATACTTAATAAAAATTATCAATTAATCGACTCAGTAGTCGATTGGCCCCGTTGCATTGATCAGCAAGGAGTGATGTAGATCACAAACTACATAATAGTCCCTGTTTGATTAAATTGTAAACTGGCCAGTTTGATATATACGAACATCCTTGGGGAGTCTGGTGGCCTAAACTAAATAAATAAAATCGTCAAGGCTACGTTTTCCCGAGACTCTGCAGTGTTAAAATGTGGCAAACCACCAAACAACTACAATCAGTTATCTCACTCTCTCTTTCAAATATTAATAAATTGTGCATAAAGTTTATTACATTGTTTATATTCAATATTTGTATCACAGCTCGTAATTCTGATTCATTATACAGTATTTTTACAAATCATCATCTTATCATTATCCTGTGTTTTATATTATATTATTAATATTATACTGGTAAATTTAAGAGTATTGGTTTAACTGAAGAAGTATACAAAGTATATACAATGAGTGTTGATGATCACATTTTTTAATATCAAGTTGGTGAATTCATGAATAATCGGCTTAACCGAAATCCAGTGTATACAAACATCTTGAAGTCATACTTTGATAAATAGTTTCTGAACAAACAGTTTCATAAATATTTTCAATCAATATTTTAATATGTTATTATTTGCAGTATTACAGTTTTACAAAGAAAACAATTCACATCACAATCTTTCATCTGAACTGACATTTCAATTCATAGAGTGTTCAAATAAACACATCCATTAGTTTTAAGAAGTGTTAGAATTAAGCTGAAGAAGGTGTGAAGGAGGACAACATATCAGACCTCTCACGGTCCATAAATCGGACTTCTGGGATGTTTAATTACAGGGCCCACACTTAACATCTTTAACTCCACTGCGCAGCTCTGTGATTGTAATGTCCTCAGTAGTTCAATTAAAATTAAATTAAATTCATTAAAACCCCACCAGGGGGCAACTTTTTGTTATACTCACACCTGTATGAAATACCTAAATTGTATTACATAAAGGTGTGAGGTGATTTTGCTTGATGGAATGATCAATTAAGTAAAGAGTATATTTTGAATATAAGTGAAGAACTTTTATTTTTTCTTTACAAAACCCAGTTAATAATATACAAAATGTATGATTTCTAGAGATTCTTTATATAGGTAACATTCTTTTGCTATGGTAAAAAGAATAATCAATGAAATGAATGAACTTCTGCACAATAAACTTAATTTTGAAATAGTAAAATAAGAATGTGATTGCTGCAGTAATTGGTTTTTGGGGCACACCTGACTAGTGACTAGCTTCTGCCTTATTCTACCCCATTTTACAACTAAAAATCGTAGTATTTCAGCTATTTCTTAGTCAATCTTTTTGAACTTGGTATCGTTTGATAGATAATTAAAAATGCTAAATAAAAGTGTTCTTGTCATAATTTCATAAAATCAGCCATTTTTTAGTAATTTAAGTTTAATATTCGTAAATGGCCGCCATTTTAAAATTTTAGATATAAATTAAAGATGAATTTTTTTTCTAACACGGGTCTCTTCTACCTTAATATACATATACCAAGTTTCATAAAGATTGGTTGAAAATATTAAAAAATAAAAATGTTAATGTAAAAAATACAAAATGGCGGATATCTGGTTAATAAAGCGATTTAGGAAATAATGTTGTTCTTGATTTTCTCTTTATTTTGACCCAAGAAATCGCTAGGTTTAATATGTCCCCCATCTTTTTTAAACACCCTGTATAGATGGGCATAGTAACAGGAACTTTTATTTCAATTTAAACCACAGTTGGCAGCATTGTTTTTGAATTTTAAATTTGATCTTTAACCGCCAATCTTCTTTCTTCTCCCTTCTGATGAAGAACAGGGACAAAATATTAAGTTTTACTTTTTTGTGTTATGTGTTTTGTGTGTGTTACCAAAGCTAATCTGAACTCTATCTACCAGGTAAGCTAGCTGATCCCTATCCTTGTACATAATAATCTTAATTAAACTTAGGTGGGCCTAAACCTGAATTTATGCACTTCACTTGTAGAATAATTTAGGGGGGAAATTGGTAGTTTTAATATATTTTATTACTAGCTGTAACCCGCGGGCTTTGCCCCGTTTAACTTCTTAATTTTCAAGATTATCTCGTTCACATGGCTCAATCACGTCCTGGTTGAAGTTTGTTCGCTACGCTCACTCACCTTTAGGTTGGAGCTCGTTCGCTACGCTCACTCCCCTTTAGGTTGGAGCTTGTTCGCTGCGCTCACTTGCCTTCAGGTTAGCTCGTTCGCTACGCTAACTCGCCTCCATGTAAGGTTGAAGTTCGTTCGCTACGCTCACTCACCTTTTGGTTGCAAATTAGCTGTTGTCATAAATGTAAAAGAAATAATAGTGCTGCACCCTGTTGGTAATCCTTGTAACTTTAATGCTATTGAACATCATATAACAGAACCAACTTGTTTAATTGAAACAGCTGTTACGATTCAATAATTCCATTTCTCATAAGGTTGACATGGGAAACTCCAGAGCCACTGGGGCGGAGCCCGAAAGGATTTTTGAAATAAGTATATGCCTATAAGTTAATCGGGAATGTGAGCTATCATCATGCCAAATTTCAGCCCAATCCGACCAGTATTTTTCGAGTTCACTTGTCACAAACATACATCCATACATCCATACATCCAAACTTTCTCATTTATAATATTAGTAGGATTTAATGCCAAAGCATTCATGAACAGTTTCAACTACATTAGGACCTAGTCTCCTACAGCGAATTCAAAAGAAAATTTTTCTGCATGATTTAAAATGAAACATTAGGTACGGTCCTCTTAAATATCTGCTCCACCAATTAATACTGTAAATGATGGCCGGACACATCCATCATCAATAAGTGACTAGATTTGTTCTACAGGATCAATTAACAAAAACATAATTAATTAATTGACAGTTAGAGGCTGTTGGTTGTGTCTATCCTAATAAAAACCTGATGGATGCAGACTTTCCAAACAAAAATAAATAAAGTGTTCTCAAATAATCTGACTGTTTAAAGAGTTGTTTGAGAAGGGATAGAGTTTAGCTAGCTTACCTGAAAAAATAGAGTACAGAAGCTCATAGATTATTAAAAACAGATCATATAAACACTGATTTTTTTCTAGTGTAGGAGTTTTTCAGTGTAGGCTGGTAAGAAACACCTCTAATAAGTTTGAACCCGATCCTTTCCAAAAAAAAGAAACTAGAGGTTCTTGTGAGCCTATCTTTGGCCCGTGATTTGTGTCAAAAATTCCAGGCTCTGAATTAATTCAAGATAATATTTTTCCCCCACCAAGTAAAATAATTCTTTCTGTTGCATCATGACTCATGTTAATTTGTCAGGTAACTTCTGTTAAATCAAGAGGTAATTTCATCATGGGATGAATTTATATGTAAAAGTTGAAATTATTGTGAATGTGTCTGTTTCCAGTGTTTTCTCTGAGTATAGTATGTGTTGTACAGATGTTCACAGCAGAGTGGGATCGTCTGGTGAAGGTCAGCAAGGCCAAGCGGCAAGAGCAGGAGGCTGCACAAGAAGGTCGGAGAAATGGTCTGGTAGGGAATGTACGTCACTTCTCCAGGGAGTTTACCAAGAGAGAAGTCATTTTACCTTTCTCTCTTCTCTTGACCATCTTCTTCTTCCAACAACTGAGCGGGACCTACCCAATCATCTTCTACGCGGTTCAAGTCTTCCAGTCGATCGGAGGTGATTTTGGTGCAGGTCTCAATGCGGATTCGGCCACTGTAATTTTGGGTGTTATAAGATTCTCTGTCAGCCTGTTGACCACCAGTCTGTCTCGTAGTTTTGGACGAAGGTTCTTACTGATCGTCTCAGGAGTTGGGATGACGATTTCAAGTTTTGCAGCTGCTTTGTACTTCCATAGAACTTGTGTATTCAAAAGTGTCTTTGACGTTACGGAATCTTCGTTTAATAGTACCTTTTTGAATACCACCACAGAAATGAATGTAACTTCAACACTATCACCCTCTACGACAGGGTCCAGTTTGCTAGGGCTTGTTTTCATTCTGGTGTTTGTCATTATGAGCTCTATCGGGTTTCTCATTATTCCTTGGACTCTGGTTGGGGAAATTCTACCTGTTACGGTTCGTGCGACTGGAGGAGGAATAGTATTCTCGTACGCTTACATCTTGATGTTCGGAATAGTTAAAGTGTTTCCTTACATGTTATCAGTACTTAAAATATCCGGGCTGTTCTACTTTTTCTGTTTCACGTCTTTTGCCAACGTTGTCATTGTCTATTTCTTCCTGCCAGAGACTCTGGGTAAAAGCTTTGAAGAGATTGAAAAATCTTTTATGAAAACTCACAATAACTCTTAGTAGTGCCTCGCTTATTTAGATGGTTTAAGCTCTTTTTGCAAAATCACATTAGTTAGATAGAATAATGTTAAACAACTATCTCCAATCTGTTTTCTGATCCTGTTTGCCCCAAGAATGGTCGCGTAGATGATTTGAAGATTTGATATTTTCCTATTGTAGTTTTATTGTTCTATTTGTTGTACAAAAATACTAGTTATAGCTATTTTTATACGTGTGATACTAGGTGATAGAATAATTTGGTAGATAATGAATATCTGAGAATTTATATTTTTGTACTTTGACATCATAGTATTTTTGTGCCATGTGATACTGTCAAGAAGGTATAATATTCTAAATACAAGGCCTAATTTTGTTGTGCAGTCTTTGAAGAATTGTTGTGACATTTTTAGGTAGCCTGTGATTCTAGACTGATTTTGAATCCAGTACCATCACACATGCTTAAGTGTAATAATCTATTTTCAGTAAAATTGGAAATAGCATTTTAAATTGTTCCATGTAATACTTTCAACAAATTCTTGATTTATACAGTCATGTTTGAACTAATTATGTTGTAACATAGAGCTCAAGGGTCAAAGTTTAACAATTAATTTTAGAGATAGCAGGCTTCTACGAAGTTAAAAGAGTCTATTCAGGTTGAATAATCACAAAACTTTACACTATACATACACAATAATAATTAATATATAGATTATTTTAGCATAGTCCTAGCTAAGAAACAAGTTCTAATTGAAAATCTATTTAACATAAGGGTGTAAACTAATACAGTCAAATGTGTTCAATTAAAAATTTCCAATGTTTTAATAAAAAAAATTAGTTCCAAAAATTCAACAAATGTTTAGACCAAATATTTCTCTTGGTCCCTAGAACTTGTTGCATATGCATAATGCATCTGGCATCATAAATAAATGTGGTGTTGGAAGAAGGCCCAATACTGTGCTGTGGCGTATCCAGGGGGGTGTAAGGGGTTGACCTTCTATAAACCTCCCCCCTTGACCTTAAAACGTGATTTTGTTTACAATAAATTTTTTTTCTACAATAAAAAATATTTTAAAAAATCTAATCTAATCTAAAAATCTTTTATTTTGTCTCTAAATAGTCTAAAAACGCAAGTTTACGGGTCTAATTTTCAAAAGTTTCCCATACCCCCCAGTGTAACCCCCCCCCCCTTAGGCTCATTCTAGTATTCCTAGTTAGGCCTATGATACTGTGTACCACGAAACCCATCAAGGTCTTGTCTCCTCCCTACACCTTTAGTTCCACTGTATTAATGCCATGTTTCATTCCTAACTACAAAGCAGATACAAGGCCTTGCAAACGTTAGGCACCAATTTGAATTAAAAAACTCTTACATGACTTTTAAATTTTGTTACTGCTTTCCCATGAATTTTATATTATGTCTACTCTAAGAGTCTTGAACGACTATTTATATTTACATTGCAATAATGTAAAAGAGGAAATTTCCGGTTTATAAAATTTTTTTACAAATACAATTTGTATAGAAAATGTAGCTTTAATTGAACAGAAGCTTTAATTTAATATGACTCATAAAACATTGTTTATTGTGTTAAGAAGTAGCTTAGTTTTGTTGTGAAATGTATTTACAGTTTTGGAAGTATATTGAAATATTCATTTTGAAACTCCTTTCTTTCTAATTTGTAGGTTTATTGTGGAGAATATCCACCATATGTATTTTAATTTATAGATTGTAATAAAATGTTGTCCTTATTAATGAGTCAGTATTTTTTCCTATCTCATTTCATTCACATAAATCCCAAGAGATTATCTTACTAGCCCAGGCAAATGAGACATATGCTCCCTGAAAAATCGTCTAAAGCTGGTAAGTGTTTAACACCTTTTGGGGGTCCCAAATAAGAGTCCTGTGAGTTTGCGACGGTTTCTGATGTCTGCTTAAGTTTTGGCAGTCGAAAAACTATGAAAATTTTGCACTTTTTTAAGTTTTTCACTTATAACTCTTAAATAATGAATCCTATACTTCCCAGCCTTGTAGCATAATATATTATTATTTTTCATTACATACAAGTTACAAGCAGGTTATAGCAACAAGCTAGAAGTTTGAACAGTAAATCGAAAGGGATTGGGATAAAATAAAATTTCTTATAGCAAAAACCTGATATTATTTTAAAATAATTACAAAACATTAATGACAACCATAGAAAAGGTTATACAATTCAAGCTTTTGTTTGAAATTTGAAAATAATGCTAATGAATAACAATGAACAGGTAATATTCACATTAATTACAATCCAGTTTATTAAAAAGTTGAAGCATTGTGTTTATAAAAAAACCCCTAAACAATAAACATAACACAAAAATTTATTTTTAAATAGCCTCTCAAATTCACAAAAATCACATAAATGCCACAAAAATCACAATAGTTGTTTAGATAATTAATTGTATAGTGTTTCTTAAAAATCTATTAAATAGACTAATATAAGTTTAATATCTTTATAACTAAAACTAGCAAAAAGGTAATGGAATCAATTTTGAAATGGGTTTTCTTTCTATAAAAAGGGTTCTTTTAAAGTGACTGCTATTGATCGTTTTTTGAGTGCATTTGCAGAGGAGTAAGGGTGTATGCATTGCGGGCAGTCTCGGTTAGAGGAAACAGATGAGTTGAGCACTAAATGTGCTTAATGTTTCAGTAATGTTATAAACTGAAGGTAAGTGGCTGTCAAGGATTGATCAGGAAAGACCGAAGAACACAAACCCCTAAAACAGTCCTGATGTACTCGTCACCCTCTGAATCATCAGGAAAAAAGAAAAAGTTAATCATGATACAAAATAATGAAGCTTGAAATTATTCAGGTGACATAGGGTGAATTGCCCAGTGAATGACCGGTTAAGGTAAGATTTTTTTGTTAACAATGCTCTCAAATGAGAGTATTGACGCTATATATTATTATACCTACTTTTTGGTTGAGATTTAAGGGTTTGCCCTATCAAAATTGTTCATAAAAGATCAATTACGCATGTAAGAATTGTTTTTATATGCCAAAATCATGAGTCCAGTAAATGGCCAATGTCATGCCAGTGAATGACCGACTTCGGAAGGTTTAGTAAATCACAATAACAATCTGATAGCTATAAGGAAGACACTATCAAGAAAGTACATCTACAATGAAAACTTATTAGTTTCTCAGTGAAGAAAATTTTAACTGGCGTACTTAACAATTTTATATTTCAAAATTCAACTTCAATGCTTTTTACATTACAACTTATATGTTGGGTAGGGTCTAGTTTGTTCTAACTGATCTTAATTACTATGTATAATAAATTTTCAACTATAATTGAGCTTTTTACTATACAGGGTGTCTTTTTAGGACACCTCTAAATAGTGTAATCAGGTCTCCCAGTTTTTAAAGACTGCTAAAACAAAAGTTATACAATTTCATTTTATGGAAACCCTTAGTTTATACCGGTGGTATGTTTATTAGTCGTAAATGTAATCTTAAAGTAAATATAAACTGTAAACCACTTTTAATTCAATTCAAAATTCTTACCTTCTACTACAGTTCATATATATATGTTGAACAGTTTCAATGATTAAGGAAAACTTTGACACATTCATGCTAAACCAAACTGACCACAATTACGATACTAGATTTAAATTTTTCTCAAACCTGTACAACATAGACTTAACTTGTTCCATTTGCCACCACAGTTCATGGGGCCAAACAGCTACTAAATTTAAAACAATTTCAGTCCTAAAATTCATTTCAAAGCGTGGCTATTGGAGAAGGCATTTTACTCTTTGGAAGATTTTGGAAAAGTCAATAAAAATGTTTTGTAATGTTCTAAATAAATAAATAAAATAATCCAAATACATTTTAACTTCTTCCCTCAACTGTGCTACTAAGAAAACATCTGCGTTGAATAATTATTAACGTACTAGGAAACCCGCACGGCTCAATGAGCCGCATTTTAAGCACAACGTTGAGGAAAACTTGCTACTTTAAGTCAAGTTAATTGCAATAAGATTATGAGAGTTGTCTGAAAATTGTTGTAAAATTGAGTTTAAACATTTCTGATCAATTGCGTCATAAAGGTTCACGTACATAGCTCTGTTCTCAGTGTTGACTGATTACTTCTAAAGCTTTCATCTTAATGAATTTTTTGCCATTGTAGTTTTGGTTAAAAAAAAGTTATGATATCACTTCACCATAAATTGTAGTACAAGTAGCCCAAAATAAAATGCACATCCTAGGCTTTACCAATTAAAAATGTTTTCCTTATGTTTAAAAAAAACTAAGTTTACATCCAAAATAAATCAACATTAAACCCACTTTTTAGTTCCTAACATCTGTGCAAGTCAGACATACTTTGGTAAACAAAGTTTTAAATTGGTATGAATACAGAAAAGACAAAATAGTTTGATACAATATGCAGCCTTTAGAGTTATTAGAGATCCATCAGAGTTTAAGTATAAGCATGGGGATGGAATGTCTAGTTGTATTATACACCACAACCATTTAGACATCCCATCTATATGGACCAGCTGTAGCCAATTTTTTGTTAAAAAAGAACGCAGTTGTGTGAGCCAGTCACAAAATGCGCTGGTGACTAAAACTCTATTTTCTACCTTATTTTTTGTTGCTGGCCAAGTTAATGAGTCATAACAGTTGCTATAACACACAATAAGTCATTCCAGTAGTTTGAATTGGTAAACATGATTGTGTATTCAACAGAAATCAGTAATTTAGATCAGCACAATCTGTCGGTGGCTCACATCAACTACGACTATTTTACATGCGGATGGAATGTCTAGTTGTATTATAAGCCACAACTTTAAATAAAATAATTAATTATTGCCAAATAAACTATTTGAGTAAAAATTAAACTTTATCAAGGTTGTGCCAATCTAGAGCGTTTTAAAACTAGATCTACATATTATAGCTTTAGCATTGACAATATTAAACATGGAGGAACTATGATCCAGTTTATTTGAAATTAAATATATTTTTAATTAAAGTAATGCATCTCCTTACTATTTTCAAAATTGATTAATTACTGTTTTTAATAAATATTGTGACAATGAACATTTTGTGCCTTCATTGAGTACATGATTATTTCAATATTTATTTAACAAATGTCCAAGATTATGTTTTTTTTCTAAATACCAACCTTTAGCACTCAAATTATGTCCAAAAAATAAAATTCATCTCTTATAAGTATTTACATTATAACACTCTAGAATGAAAAATATTATTTTTTTATAGAGTTACTAGCATTTCAACGAGTTTTACAATCAACTTTACAAATTTAAAAATACATGTATAAAGATTTGTTTAATCAAACAAATTAAACTCTAAACATTGATAAAACAAATTGCCATGCTATGCTAAAAAAAAGAGGTTGCTTTGGTATTGTCTTTGGGGTTGAATAATACTCTTTTACCTATGATTTCTATTTACGGGTTATATTAAAAAAAAAATAAAAATAAATACTGTCTACATTAATTTTTATAGAACTAGACAAAGTTTTAAAAAAATGACCCAGATGCACTGAGCGACCCTTAACTTAAGTACTTATTGATTGAACTCATTGTGATATAGATTCTATTTTAGTTCATATAAACATCGATATAGTGTCAAAAGACAAGGGCGAGCCTACAAAGCTACCCTTTAGCTAGCAATCAAATCCTGGAAACAACTATGGTGTTGATCATGAGCACAAATACAAATAGTCAGTAAATATAAATTAACTATAAATGGGTATAAATGTATAAACTTAACAAATATTTCTTTGAAAATGAGATTAATCATCAAGCAAAACATTTCACTAAAACTGACTAGTTAAAGGAACTTATTTAATAACACCACGGCTGCCTGAATCGTAAACAAAATAATTTATATAAATAATGTACAATTTATTAGCTAATAATTAAGAGAATAAATTCAAACATAAGGAATGTAGAGAATTACTTAATCGGGAAAATCGTGTCAAAATAGATGAAAACTTCTATTCACCAACGTTTTGGCCTCAATGTAGAATGCCATCTTCACGGTGATTCAAGTTCTGCACAATTGATGTTTGGCACTATACATTGAGGTTGAAATGTTGATAAATATAAGTGTTCCATGTATTTTGATTTGTTTGTCCTCCGAAGACCACGGATCTTGTGACCGTGGAAGCCTATCCATGAAGCTAACAAATATAAAAGGAATGTAAACAATATAATTTAAAAAAGCCTACAGCTTGTGAAAGGTTCAGCAGCCAGTGGTGTTTTGCTACAGCACTGCAACTTGAGAGTTGCATCTGATAAATAAACCATCAATAACACTGATATAAAAATGACGCACAGTACAACACAGAGGCACGACCGAGGCTGTAGAGAAGTAGTGACTAGAATGTCAGTATGGGCTCCTCCCTGTGATCTAGGATATCTGAACAACACAAACATCAATATAAATATGAGACCTGTGCATAACAATAGAAACATGACACACAGTACAACACAGAGGCACGACCGAGGCTGTAGAGAAGGTGTGACTAGAATGTCAGTATGGGCTCCTCCCTGTGATCTAGGATATCTGAACAACACAAACATCGATATAAGTATGAGTCCTGTGCATAACGATAGAAATATGACGCACAGTACAACGCAGAGGCACGACTGAGGCTGTAGAGAAGTAGTGACTAGAATGTCAGTATGGGCTCCTCCCTGTGATCTAGGATATCTGAACAACACAAACATCGATATAAGTATGAGACCTGTGCATAACGATAGAAATATGACGCACAGTACAACACAGAGGCACGACCGAGGCTGTAGAGAAGTAGTGACTAGAATGTCAGTATGGGCTCCTCCCTGTGATCTAGGATATCTGAACAACACAAACATCGATATAAGTAGGAGTCCTGTGCATAACGATAGAAATATGACGCACAGTACAACACAGAGGCACGACCGAGGCTGTAGAGAAGGTGTGACTAGAATGTCAGTATGGGCTCCTCCCTGTGATCTAGGATATCTGAACAACACAAACATCGATATAAGTATGAGTCCTGTGCATAACGATAGAAATATGACGCACAGTACAACACAGAGGCACGACCGAGGCTGTAGAGGAGGTGTGACTAGAATGTCAGTATGGGCTCCTCCCTGTGATCTAGGATATCTGAACAACACAAACATCGATATGAGTATGAGACCTGTACATAATGATAGAAATATGACGCACAGTACAACACAGAGGCACGACCGAGGCTGTAGAGGAGGTGTGACTAGAATGTCAGTATGGGCTCCTCCCTGTGATCTAGGATATCTGAACAACACAAACATCGATATAAGTATGAGACCTGTGCATAACGATAGAAATACAACGCACAGTACAACACAGAGGCACGACCGAGGCTGTAGAGAAGTAGTGACTAGAATGTCAGTATGGGCTCCTCCCTGTGATCTAGGATATCTGAACAACACAAACATCGATATAAGTATGAGTCCTGTGCATAACGATAGAAATATGACGCACAGTACAACACAGAGGCACGACCGAGGCTGTAGAGGAGGTGTGACTAGAATGTCAGTATGGGCTCCTCCCTGTGATCTAGGATATCTGAACAACACAAACATCGATATAAGTATGAGATCTGTGCATAACGATAGAAATACAACGCACAGTACAACACAGAGGCAAGACCGAGGCTGTAGAGAAGGTGTGACTAGAATGTCAGTATGGGCTCCTCCCTGTGATCTAGGATATCTGAACAACACAAACATCGATATAAGTATGAGATCTGTGCATAACGATAGAAATATGACGCACAGTACAACACAGAGGCACGACCGAGGCTGTAGAGAAGGTGTGACTAGAATGTCAGTATGGGCTCCTCCCTGTGATCTAGGATATCTGAACAACACAAACATCGATATAAGTATGAGATCTGTGCATAACGATAGAAATATGACGCACAGTACAACACAGAGGCACGACCGAGGCTGTAGAGAAGGTGTGACTAGAATGTCAGTATGGGCTCCTCCCTGTGAACTAGGATATCTGAACAACACAAACATCGATATAAGTATGAGATCTGTGCATAACGATAGAAATATGACGCACAGTACAACACAGAGGCACGACCGAGGCTGTAGAGAAGGTGTGACTAGAATGTCAGTATGGGCTCCTCCCTGTGATCTAGGATATCTGAACAACACAAACATCGATATAAGTATGAGATCTGTGCATAACGATAGAAATATGACGCACAGTACAACACAGAGGCACGACCGAGGCTGTAGAGAAGGTGTGACTAGAATGTCAGTATGGGCTCCTCCCTGTGAACTAGGATATCTGAACAACACAAACATCGATATAAGTACGAGATCTGTGCATAACGATAGAAATATGACGCACAGTACAACACAGAGGTACGACCGAGGCTGTAGAGAAGTAGTGACTAGAATGTCAGTATGGGCTCCTCCCTGTGACCTAGGATATCTGAACAACACAAATATCGATATAAGTATGAGACCTGTGCATAACGATAGAAATATGACGCACAGTACAACACAGAGGCACGACCGAGGCTGTAGAGAAGTAGTGACTAGAATGTCAGTATGGGCTCCTCCCTGTGATCTAGGATATCTGAACAACACAAACATCGATATGAGTATGAGACCTGTACATAATGATAGAAATACAACGCACAGTACAACACAGAGGCACGACCGAGGCTGTAGAGAAGGTGTGACTAGAATGTCAGTATGGGCTCCTCCCTGTGATCTAGGATATCTGAACAACACAAACATTGATATGAGTATGAGACCTGTGCATAACGATAGAAATACAACGCACAGTACAACACAGAGGCACGACCGAGGCTGTAGAGAAGGTGTGACTAGAATGTCAGTATGGGCTCCTCCCTGTGATCTAGGATATCTGAACAACACAAACATCGATATGAGTATGAGACCTGTACATAATGATAGAAATATGACGCACAGTACAACACAGAGGCACGACCGAGGCTGTAGAGGAGGTGTGACTAGAATGTCAGTATGGGCTCCTCCCTGTGATCTAGGATATCTGAACAACACAAACATCGATATAAGTATGAGACCTGTGCATAACGATAGAAATACAACGCACAGTACAACACAGAGGCACGACCGAGGCTGTAGAGAAGGTGTGACTAGAATGTCAGTATGGGCTCCTCCCTGTGATCTAGGATATCTGAACAACACAAACATCGATATAAGTATGAGTCCTGTGCATAACGATAGAAATACAACGCACAGTACAACACAGAGGTACGACCGAGGCTGTAGAGGAGGTGTGACTAGAATGTCAGTATGGGCTCCTCCCTGTGATCTAGGATATCTGAACAACACAAACATCGATATAAGTATGAGACCTGTGCATAACGATAGAAATACAACGCACAGTACAACACAGAGGCACGACCGAGGCTGTAGAGAAGGTGTGACTAGAATGTCAGTATGGGCTCCTCCCTGTGATCTAGGATATCTGAACAACACAAACATCGATATAAGTATGAGACCTGTGCATAACGATAGAAATACAACGCACAGTACAACACAGAGGTACGACCGAGGCTGTAGAGGAGGTGTGACTAGAATGTCAGTATGGGCTCCTCCCTGTGATCTAGGATATCTGAACAACACAAACATCGATATAAGTATGAGACCTGTGCATAACGATAGAAATACAACGCACAGTACAACACAGAGGTACGACCGAGGCTGTAGAGGAGGTGTGACTAGAATGTCAGTATGGGCTCCTCCCTGTGATCTAGGATATCTGAACAACACAAACATCGATATAAGTATGAGACCTGTGCATAACGATAGAAATACAACGCACAGTACAACACAGAGGTACGACCGAGGCTGTAGAGAAGGTGTGACTAGAATGTCAGTATGGGCTCCTCCCTGTGATCTAGGATATCTGAACAACACAAACATCGATATAAGTATGAGACCTGTGCATAACGATAGAAATACAACGCACAGTACAACACAGAGGTACGACCGAGGCTGTAGAGGAGGTGTGACTAGAATGTCAGTATGGGCTCCTCCCTGTGATCTAGGATATCTGAACAACACAAACATCGATATAAGTATGAGACCTGTGCATAACGATAGAAATACAACGCACAGTACAACACAGAGGTACGACCGAGGCTGTAGAGGAGGTGTGACTAGAATGTCAGTATGGGCTCCTCCCTGTGATCTAGGATATCTGAACAACACAAACATCGATATAAGTATGAGACCTGTGCATAACGATAGAAATACAACGCACAGTACAACACAGAGGTACGACCGAGGCTGTAGAGAAGGTGTGACTAGAATGTCAGTATGGGCTCCTCCCTGTGATCTAGGATATCTGAACAACACAAACATCGATATAAGTATGAGTCCTGTGCATAACGATAGAAATACAACGCACAGTACAACACAGAGGTACGACCGAGGCTGTAGAGGAGGTGTGACTAGAATGTCAGTATGGGCTCCTCCCTGTGATCTAGGATATCTGAACAACACAAACATCGATATAAGTATGAGACCTGTGCATAACGATAGAAATACAACGCACAGTACAACACAGAGGTACGACCGAGGCTGTAGAGGAGGTGTGACTAGAATGTCAGTATGGGCTCCTCCCTGTGATCTAGGATATCTGAACAACACAAACATCGATATAAGTATGAGACCTGTGCATAACGATAGAAATACAACGCACAGTACAACACAGAGGCACGACCGAGGCTGTAGAGAAGGTGTGACTAGAATGTCAGTATGGGCTCCTCCCTGTGATCTAGGATATCTGAACAACACAAACATCGATATGAGTATGAGACCTCTACATAATGATAGAAATATGACGCACAGTACAACACAGAGGCACGACCGAGGCTGTAGAGGAGGTGTGACTAGAATGTCAGTATGGGCTCCTCCCTGTGATCTAGGATATCTGAACAACACAAACATCGATATGAGTATGAGACCTGTGCATAATGATAGAAATAACTGTCATTAAAGATGGGTACGTGTAATAGACATAGTCAAAAATTTAATATCTAGAGTTCACTCGTTTGATTTAAGTACCAAACATAACCGTAAAAAATCAGTTAGGTACTGAATACAGAAGATGATTAACAAGATAAAGACACTCAGTTAAAATTAACTTTAAATTATTCAGAGACTTTTAACTACAGATTTTTCAACCTAATTTCTGGTTCATTGTTTTCAGAATTTGCTCCAACCCACATTGATGGAAAACCGTGTCAACAAAACCTATTCTTAGGGAGAAGCTGCCCTCTAAACTCGAGAACATAGCTGTAGATATTCTCAAGCGTGTGTTCAAAATTGAATATTTAAATTTCTTAGATAATAAAATAACTCGTGCTCTTTGATGAACGTAAACAAAACTTCATTTTATTTAACCATATGTAATTTTCAGTAATTAATCATTAGTGGCAAGTATTAGTCAAAATAAAACATGTCACTAAAACAGTATAAAATGAAAACATAATTTTAAATCTATAAGATTTCTCCCAGGGGGGTTTCTCAGGACATCAGCTTCACCAGTTTGGTCATACCCCTCCCCAGTGGCTGTTCAGACGTCCGCTAATCTAACTTGGCCATCTCGCCCAGGGTACATAATATTAAATCTGTAACAGCGTTTAGGCGCAAAAGAGGCAGAGTGTGTACTGCCTTATACCTCAGTAGCTACAGGCACAATTCAAGAATACAGAAGCAGTTTACTGCTCTCGTCTTGAACACCTTAATTTAAAACATGAAAGGCAGAGAGTCAATTGCAAAATTACTTGTATATGATGGCGATTGTAGGGACAGCAAAGTACCTTTAGCTATGGTCCACCATGGTAACGTTATGTAAGTGAGGAAGGCGTTGAGAGGCACGGACTGAGCTCTCTTGTTCTCTTTCCAGAAGTGGAATGTCTGTGTAAAGCCTCTCATTGTCCACAGCGGGTTGTATGCTCCATCGTCCAGCTCTGTAACACACAAGCCCAAAACACTTAGTACGTAAACTGGTCCATACAACTGGAGTAGCTGTGATATATTTATTGGTAGACAGCAATGTATTTTCAAACTTTCCTATCATACTCGGTGTGCTAGTAAGCCATGAATCGTTGACACACGTTTTTCAATGGATGAAATTTTAAACTTTAAAACTTTACTAACCGCCGGTTTTTACACTGTTTAAAAGTCATGTTGCTAAGGCTTTGAATATACTTTACTCAACCACAAACAACACATGTGTGTGCAAATAGATTAAGATTATACAGTAGAGTCCCGATATTCCAAAATGGTTGGGACCGGACCCATTTCAGATTACCAAATATTTTAGATTAACTAATAGTTAACTGCAATACATTAGAAATATTTCAAGGCGTAGATCATCAATAAAGTATTAAGATTAGTCAGAAAAATCTTATAGTGTAAATATTACTATTCCAAATTGAGATGTCTGTCTACTTCCTGGATGATTTTCCTGAATATATATACTCCCCTTTTTCTACAGTTAAAGTTTTAATTGACTGAAACATTTCACAAATATTATTAGCTTGGAATAAAACACCAATTATTACTCCTGACCTGAAAAATTTAGTTAGTTACCGTAAAATATCCCTTATAATATCTTTTGACACTTCAGTTTTGATGAATAAGAAACTGTAGTACTTTGTATAATCATATTCGGCGGATTCTAGATTTAATTTTCAAATCAAATAATTGTTTTGACACTAAAGAAAGCATTACATCAAATGCCTACCTAGAAGTAACTGGTATCTCGTCAATTAACAGGGTGTCTGTCTACTAAATCTGGTTTGAAAAATTCAAGAACTTTTCTAGGAGAATTCAACACCCCTGAATTTTAAGAGCTACTATCGGAACCCAACTTTAAGCTTTATCACGCCGTTTTATATTAAAAAAAAGACTTTTTAAAGATTTTTTTAAAGAAATCATCATTTATAACTAATGTATAAATAAATAAAAGGGCAAATGAAAAACTGTACTTCAAAAAATTTACAGTTCTTTTTTTTTGTACATTTAAAAGATATACAAAAAAAGGCAAATGGAGTTTTCTAGAAAACTCTCTCTTCCTTAGTTGAAAATGCTGTCAGTGACAGTGAAATATTCTAATGTTTTGTGTATATAGTGTAAAGTTTTGTTTTGTGTTTCCTGTGCCAGTTTGGACTCTTTCCCACTCAGGTAAGCCTGCTATCCTCTCAAAAAATCCTAAAAAATCTAGGCCCTTGTGCTCTATGCTACACCCTTAACCAAAAATATGTAATGTACAGACTTCTCTATTTTCACCCCTTGCTGTAAAGAAAACATGTGATTGGAATTTCTTTCATCTGTTTTTATTTTTGGTTTAGATTTCGTTGTTATTTCGTCGCCAGCATGGCAACCCATAGGCCCATGTTAATTTCTGTTTAATTTTTAATTAATTTTTTGTGCTAACTTTTCGGCCTTTTTTTTAATTTATAAAGGTATTCTGCACATCTACAGGCAAATATCTTTTAACAGTATGCGTAGATTTTCCCTGTGATGCACGCAAGCTGAGATAAAAGGTTTTAAAGAAACATGCTTGCCTATTAATATATAGATTGTTGACAAAATACAAATGGATGCTTGAAGATGCCACTGAAAACAAAATGCCTTGCAGAAGTTACAGCAAAATGTCAGAATGTAATTATTTAATATATTGATGTTCCAGTAGTAGGTAATTAATTCTTTTTCTGAAACTGCTACCAATTAATAGTATATTAATATAAATAATCGATTATGATGTATATAAAGTAACCACAGATTACTTCCTATTTACTAGACACAATAAAATCAACACCAACAAGTACTAAGCAAGCAAAGCTAACATGCAGTAGTGACCTACCATAACTGGGACCACTGAACGATGCTCTTCTTGTCGGCATATCACACCAGTAGTGAACTAAAGTGCCGTCGGGAGCTACTTTGTGAGGAGGTACTTGCCGATTCAACATCTTAGTCTTGCGATTCGCCGAGTCTTTAAACATTTTTGGAAGCGAGTTTGTGCAGTATTTGACAGGTGTCGGTTCAACGTCAGCGCAGGTGCATTTCTGCTTTTCCTCGGCCATTGCGCCAACGTCTACTCCCACCTCCAAGTCCGCCTCTCCCCAAGATAGACAATCATGGAACTCGTCTTCGTCACTGTCTTCCTCGTCTTTCTTGGACCCAGCCTCCGTCTCTGACTCACTCTCTCTGTCGGCCGTCAAAGTCGAAGGCTTGCAAATTTCCGAACGTGCTCGCATGCCCATGCACTTACAAGAACAATGAGAAGTGGCGGGAAGTGGTGAAACTAAACCAACGCTCGAACAATCTACAAACAAAAAGAGAGAAAAGAGGCTAAGCGAGCGATCGTCAGTAATGGATGAAGCAAACCGAATGGTGAACGACGAGGTGAGAGCAGACAACATTGATACATATGACATGACAGTGACAAAGCACACAGAGAGAAGAAAATTATTTACCAGTAGCTAGAGGTTTTTGGACATGAGTAGTCGTAATACTAGAGGCCTACAGATTTATAACATCACCAGGTTTAACCAGGAAAATGATTTTTAAAAATTATTCTATATTTAAATTCTACTTGAAGTTAAATGGCATCTTTTAGTGGATTCTTAGTATTTGTCTGAGCTTGAAATCATTAGTTTTTTGCTGATACGTTATAATTCTTCTTCTATCCTTACTTTGTCTTAAATGTAATATGATTTGATAACAAAGTCTTATTTTAATCAACTGATGACTCTGTCTAAAGTTACATTCTTTTAATTTGTGTAAGTCCAATAAATGAAACTAGCTCTAGAAGCACTAAATACAGCTATTACTACGCTACCTACAAATTTAAACAACTACATTGTGAACTACTTATACATGGTGTTTTTTTTTTACTCAACCCAAATCACAAGTACTATTAGACACTGTTTAAAGACAAAACAAGCTCACATTTTGCTACCCCTGTATTCTTTATTTCATTGCCAATCAGCAGATATGCATTGTTACATAGTTATCTACAAGTTTTAGTGTTACTGGGAATTTATTGTGGATAATTCCTTGGTGTTTTTGCAAGCTCTATTTGAGCATTAAAAAAACCATATTACATCTTATTTACAATCAACACTAAACTTTGGTGTTTTATGTTTATCAATAACACTTAACGGCTAAAACTCATTAATAACTGGAACGATGCATATTTGCTGATCGGCAGTGAAGTAAAGAAAACAGGGATATCATCATATGAGATTGTTTTGTTGTGCCTGACAGTAGTTGGGTTGAGTTTAAAAAAGCACCCTCTACCTATATCATTTTTCATCCTGAAATGATAATAAAACCAGATTTTTAATTCTACACAAGGAAACGGTACAGAACCTCACAGAAAAATAATACAATCATGACACAAACCTACCAAGACGGTAATCCAACTCCTACTAATTTTAATTGCAGTAATTATTGTCTTATTTTATTAAAAAAATATTTGGCCACAATTTTTTTTTCATAATATTATAAACCAAAACCACAACACTTTATGCCTTCATTACTTTTACTGAACTGCTAATAGCTTTTGCCACAGTAAAATGTTATGGTAACAAACTTCTAGTGGAATTATGTAAAAACTATTTTGGACTCGAGATGCAGAATAATTGAGGTTAATAAATCATTAGGCCAGAGAAATCATTCGGTGATGAAAAAGAAATGTCTCCTTGGTAGTAGTTTAATAAGCCCAGTCATTAACCCTAGCAGTGGCCAACCGTCGTCTAGTGACGGTTTGACGTTGATGCTTAGAATGGCCACCGTCGTCTGGTGACGGTATGGGCCAAAATTATTTTAACGGTAAAAAAACACTTATTATCAACTCAGATGAGAATAATATATATACCATTCGAAAGATCACATTCTGAACTTTCATTTTACATTTTATTACATAAACAAACCCTGTAGCATGTATATAACATTGTCACGACGATTAGAAATCAAATGAATTTTTGGCGCGGCACGACTTTTGCAGCTGACACTTGGGAACTGGCAAAACACGTCTTGTTTGTCATTACCCTGCTCGGGAAATTTTCGTCTTGGGATTTTGCGGGTGGTACCACTGGATAGCCATTGATTTTATCTTCATTGTGGTAGTGATATTTAGAACTAAATATTGATTTGACAACCGGTACGATTTTATGAAAACAGCTGTTTTCGAAATTTATAACAAATGGCCAACCATCGTCAGGTGACGGTAGGGAAATACGAATTACATACAGTGTAAGTTAATATTACTAGTCATATAATATGTCATATTGAAGAGGAAGAAATATAGATTGTGAGAATGGCATCCTTGCGCTCAGGGTTATTTACGTCTGCTCAAATGAAGACGACGGAAGTGAGTCATTACTGCTACAGCTGTCTTGTGTATTCGCCATTGTGTGTTGTTGCCAATGAGTGTTCGCTCTCATGTTATCCGCGATTTATTACTAAATACGTTATTAGTTCGTAGTGTTAGTGTTAGTGAAGTTTGTGTGTGTGTATAACAGTAATCTTCATGCATTTTATTATGCATAAATATTACTGAATTGTGTGAAATAGTGTTCATAAAAGGTTGTATTTTGTTAGCATCATGTCCAAAAATGACGATTCTGACATTCAGAGATGGTTGTACGAGACGGACCTTAGTTCGCCGTGCTATATATGCTATATAATGATATACCCAAGGTGTTATACATTTTTATAAAGGTAAATGAATACACTACAACATGTTTATATTGGTTTGGGGGTAAAAAATTTGGTAAAAAAGTTATAGCCTATACTAAATACTGTATTTTGTTAGCATCATGTCCAAAAATGACGATGACATTCAGAGATTGTTGTACGAGACGGATCTTAGTTCGCCGTGCTATATATGCTATATAATGATTTACCCAAGGTGTTATACATTTTTATAAAGGTGAATGAATATACTTGTTTATACATGTTTATATTGGTTTGGGTGTAAAAAGATTGGTAAAAAAGTTATATACTAAATACTGTACACTTCATTTTCTTGAAATGCGCAAAAAATTCAAAACGTTCTCAAATTGATACATAATCATAGGTGAAAATAACTGTTTACCATCATACTTATGACTTTTTTGGATTCCTTACTTCATTAGCTTTACAAATATGTACATATCATCATTAGTTTATACATATATAGCCTACACAATGTTTCACAACACAAACAAACACTTTATAGTTTACACTTATTTGCGGTTTTGGGGTTATTGTATTATTATGTCCCTATTACGTACAAAAAAAATATTTCTAACATGTTATACATTTTTATGTAGGTAATTGAATACACTACAAGATTATTATGTTTTTTTGAAGTAAAAAAAATTGGTACAAAAGTTGTATACTAAATACTGTGAATTTTTTTTCTCGCGAAATCGCTAAAGTATAGAAACATTATTTTATATACATATGTTTATAGGTAAAAAATAATTTTTACCATAAACTTAATGACTTTTTTTGATTCCTTACTCCATTAGCTTTACAAACATGTATATATCATTATTAGTATACACATATATTATATAACTTTTTACAACATAAACTAACACTGTACGGTTTTCAATTTTTTCGGTTCTCCGTTTGTCATTATATTTCGCTCCAAAAATTATGAAAAAAATTATTTTCTTAACATGTTATATATTTCTATGTAGGGAATTAGATTGTCTACAAAATGTATATAATGAATTTCCCATAAGAAATCCGTAGAAAAAAAAAATACCGAGGCCACTATTGAAACTTCAAAAGAAACAAATATTTTTTTTATTTTTTTCACTTTACCGATAAAATACATTGTCTAAATCGTTATGATATTACTATTTCTAGATTCTCCTGTTCTTTCTGAACAAAATGACTATGAGGTTGGCTAGGTTTACTTGTACGGTTGAATTTTTAAGAATTTTCAAAAAAAGTCTGCAAAATCGCCAAAATGGGTTGGCCATTCCCCAATTCTAGCATTGGCCACTGCTAGGGTTAAACAAAAATAAATTCCTCCACGCACTCCCCACTATAATAAACTCCTCAACGCCCCCCCCCCCCCACTATAGTTTTTTTGGATGCCTCACAACAAACTACATAAAAACACATTTGGAAAATTTATCATGATTTTTATTGATTTCCCTTTACCAATTAGTAATACTAGTTGCAGTTCATACTTTTAGGAGAAAACGAATTGCTTCATATCTGCATAAGAACTTAAGGTATAAACAACAAAGTTCTAAGATATTTTCAATTTAAATTTTTTAACATACTTTCTAAATCAACTACCTTCAAAATTTAAAAAAAATTGGGTAAAAATTACACAGGGTGTCTACTACATTCTGGATAAAAAATTCATGGACAATTCCCGTACATTTAAGGGCACTTTGGCGTAACCTTTGTCGGTGTCATTAGGCCTACCGAATAATTTTCCTGATTGGTCAAACTGTATTAATCTTGTTATTAACTGTAGTTGTACCAGATAGAAGAGTAAATAATAATAGATAGCCTAAGAGTTAAAAATTTCAAAATAGAAATTTATTGACAGTAAACAAGCATAGGCCTACCTATACTTTAGGTAAAACTTTTATAGTGTAACAGAGAAACGCAATCTCTTTAATGCATATTGTTGCTCAGTTCTTAGTACAAAATCAAGGTATGGTAAGCGGCTACCAATAAGCAATAAGCACAGAGTAAGATTATTGTATTTTCATTTGCAAAGTTAATATCGACACATAGCAATCATTAGTTGTTTATCTAGGCTCAATTACATTTTCTTAATATATTTTACAGCACTTTCAAGAATCAAAATACCCAGGCCTAGGCCTAATTATTTAGGAGGGCCTAAATAAACTGAGTAACAAACAATGAGGTTATAATAGCAGCAAAGTCACTATCATCATTCTAGTTCTTAAGATTTAGATTGCTTAAAGCATACAACTCAACAAATAAATATATGGGAAACAAAAAACATTTAAACCTGAATAGCCAACAATATAAGACAAAGATACAGAAAATGCAATGACATAATTTGAAACCAAGAAGGCCTACATAGTGATAAAACATTCATGCAAATAACAATGCTTGTAGTTTTGTCAATTGAAAGATAAAACATCCATAAAAAAGGGGTTAACTTACAAAATAAGACTGTAGATTATTTACATGTTTAATATGAAACCATAAACAGTTTTATGGCACTAGGCAATGGCCGCGGCAAAATGAATCTTCAAGCCAAGTACAAGTAAGAAGTGAAATTTAACAGCCATTATAAAGCTATTATTTTCACGATAAAATAGGTTTGGGATCTCATAATAATTCCTCATAATATAATCTCATAATAAGCCCTAGTAATAAAAACAGAAGTTGTAAAGGAATAAAAGTGATACAACTTTTATGAGCTAGCTAACTGAGTCAACAGTTCTTGGAAGTACTTGACTTGACACTTGATTGTCGTGATAAAATATTAATGGGTTTGAGATTGTTAATGGGATTTTTATTGCATAATTACTCTAGTAATAAATTATGAAAATGTAAACAAACATCTGATAAACCTTTTATGTGCTCCTAACCAACTAGCGATCAATAAAATTATGACCCATTAAAAATTTAAGGACATAGTCTGGCATTTAAGGACAATTCCCGTACATTTCATGGCCAGTAAAAAATTAAGTACAATTCCCGGTTTTCCCGGATTTCCCGGTTGGTAGACACCCTGTACAGGCATTTAAGTTTTTTAGCCTACTAAAACACGTTTATACATATTCATACCTAGGTAGCATCAAATGAAGTTCCGTCAAAAACTAAAACTCTTAAAAGTTGACAAAAAAATACTTCAAGACCTAGACAGAGTAAAAGAAATTAATAAAGGAAATTAAAAATGGACACTCTTTACACAGTCACACAGCTGACTTGACTCTTGATGCAGCAAACGATTACATCACAATAGACAACACTCTACAACGTCCAACATACACTCACCGTCTCTGACATCCCCTGCTTCTATCTCAGCCACTCCATTTGCAATACAGTCCAGTCCGTCATTCTCGGACCGAGTGCGAGCTCCGGGGCCGTTAGCCTCGTAAGCCTTGGTTCTCCATCCGCTGCGCACAAAGTTGTTCAGGTTGGCGCTTGGATCACTCAGTCTTCTCTGTAAGCAAATCGCGTTTCTTGTTTTTATCATTATTCATTTTATATCTCTATATAAATATAATAGTTGAAAATATAAATTTTAATTTTTGCATCAATATGCAATAAAAGATTAGTCTATTTTCTTACTAGCCCATTAAACTATCCAAAAGAAAAATAAGATTGGATAGATGTAGATTAACATCACATATAAGTACAATGTTCAGTTATGTGTTTATGTAGTCAGAAACCCCAGTAGTTTTGTGACTAAAACTCGTGTTTATCTCAACCCAACAAACTGACTGACATTGATTTGAGTTAATCTTGGTGGTTGAGCTAAAAACTTGATCGGTTTGACTGGTCAAGTTGACTTTTGACAAAATGTCAAACGAAGATCAATCTTTAAGTTTTTACATAGATAATTTTGAGAATGGATTTGGAATGTATATGGTACAAGTACATACTTGAACTGGTATATGACATACTTGAATTCAAGTAATAAACAACAAATTGCATATACATTAATAAGTTTTAGTTAGCAAGTTTTAAATGGTGTATACTAAAAATAATTTAACTAGGCCTATAAGAAAAATAGTCCTTGGTTCCTCATTCTATTGGACCAGCTGTAATCTAAATATATAAAAGGCAAAGCCCTCACTGACTCACTCATAACTAATTCTCCCACTTCCCATTTACCTAGGAGGCTGAAATTCGGTACGCCGATTCTTTGGGGATTAAATAGGAAAACTAAGTAGTTTTTATTCTGATCGGGCTTTCGGGCTCCACCCCAGTGGCTCTCGAGTTTCCCATGTTAAAACCTTTTGGTTGCAAATTAGCTAATTTGCAACCAAAAGGTGAGTGAGTGTAGCGAACGAACTTCAACCTGGAGGCGAGTTAGCGAAGCGAACGAGCTAACCTGAAGGCAAGTGAGCGCAGCGAACGAGCTCTAACCTAAAGGTGAGTGAGCGTATCGAACGAACTTCAACCAGGACGTGATTGAGCCATGTGAATACTTATGAAGTTAAACGGGGCAGAGCCCGCGGGTACAGCTAGTCAGTTTTATATTTAAATAGGTGAAGTTTAAAGAGCCTCTAACAGAATGTGCCACGGCCAATACTATTCTCTTCGTTCTTGATACGTATAATACTCTTGATACATATTTGAATAAAATATGTTTAAGTTTACATTAATTTGTCCTTTCAGTCTTGAGTATACAGTTTGTGTATATGACAGATCAATTGATAGCACATTGGTGGGTTGTTTGTAACTACATTTATTTTCTATTTTAAAACTGTCATCAGCTTTACTGTGGGAATACCCCTACTTCCATCAATAGTCAAAGGTAAAAGTGTACCTTGAAATACATTTACAATATTGCATATGATTTCAGAACTCTAAAATGCTTATTTTACATGCTAGCTAAGATCCCCCCTTCTCACCTGATGTCTGTAGACGTAGAAGTCTTCAGGATCCTCGTCCCAGTCAGAGTCCCACATGTCGATGGCACACAGTCCCGGCTCAGAGGTAGGTGTCTCTGCTCCATAGCCTGCCACAAACATACAAAATACAAGACCCTTGACACCTAAAACAACCAAAACATAGCAGAAGTCTGTGGGTTGTTTTTGACCAGAAGAAACTATCGTTGTCAGCTGAAGTATTAAAACATTACTACTTGGCTTTCCTTCTAAACACGCTTAATGAGCTGTTGCCCGTCAGCTTCACCCGACATATTTTTAGGCATTTTAACTACTATGATTACTATGAACCCGCTGAAGTTGTGACTTCGCTACAAACTAAAGTGATTTTTGGCATTAATTTTCCGTATAGTTATTAAAAAATAAATCCATTTATAAACTGTATATCTTATCGCTTCAGCTAATTAAACATATGGGACTACTGAAGTTAAACTCTTGGTAGTCAAGCCTTCCAAGAACTTCCAACTACTCTCTCTGGAACAACCTACATAATGTTTTTACCAAAAATACTATTCCTATTCTATCTCCTTTCACTTAAAATAATACCCTCAAACCAAATTTACCGATGGTAAAAAGTATTAGATTGTCTATCTTAAAGTAGCATTAATTAATTTCATGGAAGATTTTAAAGTATTTTTGAAAAACAGTTCAGTTTTAGAAAAGGCCTTGGCACAATGATTGCTTTAGCTGAGTTCTTCGATGAGGTGGCATGGGTCTTGGATGGGTCGCAGATCACAATGGGGTTCTGTGGACTTGTCCAAGGCATTTGATTGTGTTAACCACAATCTTCTTTTTTTTTAAAATTAGCATTTTATAAATGTTATACTAAATCGATATCTTGGCTTGGATACTACTTAAATGTTTGCTTCTAAAGGACAAAAATATAAAAAAATAGGCAAGAAATAAAATCTAATTGGGAGGAAATTAAAGTCAGGTTGCCTCAAGGGTCCATTCTGGGGCCACTTCTGTTAATACAATATCAATTAGTTAAGATGGGGACGCCACTATGTGCGTATTTTAACCCAAATATGAGTGAAGGATGAGTGTAGGATGAGTGGCGCGATCTTGTAGTCTTGTTAGTGACTAAGGCCGACATGTTCGTTAGACACAGCTGTTAATTAATAGCCCATACAGCTAATGATTTAAGTAAAAATGTTTCCAATAGTCTTATTCTGTATGCAGATGACACTACTGCAGTCGTCAAATCAAAAAATTATGAGGAATTAATTCTCAAACTTACAGAATGTCTTGTGAGCTAGAGAACTGGTTTGATATAAGTGGATTGAAAATGAATCAAGATAAAACTCAATTGGTTAGATTTTTTTAAGGGTACCATTTTTGGGTGTTTTGCTGATATCTCGGAAACCATGCATCCAAGCGAAATTATGGTAACTTTGGCGACAAAATGAAAGCTTATTAAATTGCCAGCAAGTTTGTACTTTACTATTTTTCTATATCTTGTATCGTTTTCACGTTATTTACTATCAACAGTTTGTAAATTTAGAAAAATTCATATTTCCTCATTTTTTTTTCTTTTTGACAAGTTACCTCTTTAAATGCTGGGCATAGGGTTGTAGAAAATCAAATTCCCTACAATGATATACTGTATATGACTTTACTAGTTTACCTTCTTCCGTTCAGATGTTAAAGCAAATTAACCGTCAGTTTAAAAAAATTAAATTTAAATTGAAGAAAATTAAAATCTAGTGATGAGCAAGGAATTTAAAGTCTTGCGACAGCTGTTGTCTACTGAACGATTCAATTTATTACCTTATCCAGTCAACTAATTGGTTGGAACATTCACTATCAAGTAGCTAAGGTGAGTACTGGGCGTCTAAAAATAGCACAGATACCCAACAGAATATCATTATATAACAGAATAACTATTATACTGTGCTATGTGGGATCTGAAGCACCAGGGTGGGTTGTTTAAAGCAAGGATGAGGATTTGGATGTAATTTATGTACAAGTTTGTCTAGCTACTGATTTACACAATTACTATAGTGGCCATTACTTACCAAAGCCTCAAGTAAGTTTACCTTTTGGTTTAGTGACGGCCATCTCTGCGTGCCCCTTGCCCTGAGGTCCTTTCATCCTCACAAACTCAACCCTCTGAGCTGCCTGACTTGAGAACAGACCAAATGTCATCCTCTGAGCCATCTTGCTGCTCATACTAGCCTGTACAACAAACAACAATACATTACACAGGGGACAAAATAAAGGAAGGTAGGTTTTTTTGTTTCAAACGCTGAAATGTATCGGAAACTAAAATGAAATAAATAAAAAGGCCTTTATTCACAAGCAAGTTTCATGTATACATGACTAGATGTACCCGCGGGCTTTGCCCCGTTTAACTTCATAAGTGAGCTCGTTCGCATGGCTCAATCATGTCCTGGTTGAAGTTCGTTCGCTACGCTCACTCACTTTTAGGTTGGAGCTCGTTCGCTGCGCTCACTTGCCTTCAGGTTAGCTCGTTCGCTACGCTAACTCGCCTCCAGGTTAAAGTACGTTCGCTACTCTCACTCACGTTTTGGTTGCAAATTAGCTGTTGTCATAAATAAAAAAAATAATAGTGCTGCATCCTGTTGGTAATCCTTATAACTTTAATGCAATTGAACATCATAGAACATAACCAACTTGTTTAATTGAAACAGCTGTTAAGATTCATTTATTCCATTTAAATATGAGTACTCATAAAGTTAACATGGGAAACTCCAGAGCCACTGGGGCGGAGCCCGAGAGTCCGATCAGAAGAAAAACAGCTTAGTTTTCCTGTTTAATGCCTAAAGAATCAATGTACCAAATTTCAGCCTCCTAGGTAAATGGGAATTAAGAGAATTAGTGATGAGTGAGTGAGTGAGTCAATGAGTCAGTGAGGGCTTTGCCTTTTATATATATAGATTTTCAAACTTACTCAAGTCAGAAACTAAATCAAACTAGCCTAATATTTACACATAATATACAAAAAATAACTATGAAAAAAATTACATTTTACAATTATTTTTTTTCCTGAATGAACTGAGTCACGCCTTTAACTAAGGCTGCGGTGTTTGAAGTGGCAACACTACATGGGATGGCTGAAATAATGGCTTTGACTACGCTACACTACTGAACACTCGCACCAGTCTCATCACAGAGTATTAGAGCAAGCGCGAAAATTATCTATTGATAGATGTTTTATATCTGACAACACTGATGTGTATGTAAAGAAGGAAATAATCATATGAGACTTGTGTGTCAATACAAAAAAATATTGATTAAAACCTATATGTTAATTGTTCTTTGTTACGTGTTTTAAGATTTTCGACGACCTCTTCGGAGTAATTCCATGTTCCTTTCTAGCCTACGCCTGATGACCCCTTTGTTGGGTTGAAACCGGTCGCCGCTCAACGGTGACATTGATCACATGACGGATTAAGGTACTTTAACCTCTAGTAATGACTAAGAACAGCGGTTCTTTCATCAAAATCACTTAAAATTCCAAAGAAGTATGACATTATATAAAAGGAAATACTTCCATAACATTAAAAGTAGCCTACAGTACTTAACAATTTATTAGGTACTGTAGCCTACTTTTAAATCTATTTAAAATAATCAAAAACAGACGTGACTTGTTAAAGAGTCATTGTTTAGATTCATTTAAAAAGGAGATAATGTTTTGGATTTTTAATAACTTTATTTTGTCAATATGTACCGGTAACTTATTGGTATCATTTTTAACACAGGAATGCTGCATACAAACTATATTTTAATTGCTTTGTTGTGACCTTTTATATTCATTTTGCAGTAGAACCAACTGCCCATGATCATAGTGGGCAAATTATACTTTCATCACCATATTATACAAATAGTACAAAATGTATTTGACACTTATAAGGTATTATCTACTGAAATGAGGGCCTAAATTTATTTACGCTTTGTTAAATACTCAATGACTCATCCTTTACATCAACACAAAATTTCTAAAAAGAAAATGGAAAATATTGAATCACCCCTATTTATGCCAAATATACAAATTAAAAATTAATTGTGTAAATTAATAATGTATGTTTTCAAAGGTTTAATTAAATTGCATCTAATAAACAAATTACCATAGGTAAATTAGTAGCGGTAAAATTATGTGATCATAATTATACTGAACTATAGTTTGAAGACTATATTTCCCAAAACAGCTCTAGAGAACAGTACAGTTAAGATAAGAAAATTATCTGGCCTCTTTTGATACCATACTAAAGCCTCCACTGTTAATTATGACTGCCTTTTAACAAGCCGCTACAGACTAAAATAGTACCCTTGTATGAAATAACTACTCCTTCACCGTAATTGCCCTTGTTATGCCATTTGATGAATGTTGTAACGTTATAACTTCTTTCATTTAAAAGGGTCTTCAATTATTATTTTATTTTAGAACCTAAATGTTCATTTTCAAGCTGCCACCAGTGAAAGTTGACCTAAACCCGGATCACAGACAGTACAACAGGTATTTAACCTTTTATTTGTAAAATACATGATCCAGAGGCTAAACATGTTACAGATATTATATTTTCTCCAAGTGAAATCGACAAATATATACCATCAATGCTTTGAAAAATTCTACAATATACAAAATGAGTTAAATAATTTAATCAGCTAAGGGTAAAATGATTAGGCCTACTTACCCTGGCATCATAGACTCTTTTGAGAGCGTCGTATCTTATGGAACCCAAGAATATGACAGCTTGAATGTGACCCGACCTGTCTGCTGCCACCAACTCTACACACACCATCTCACCGTCCCTCACAAGAATATCACAGAACACCTGCCAAACAGAGCAAATAATATAAATTGCAAATAATATAAATTGAAGGAATATGTTACCATTATATGTATGTATGGAAATTCCTTAAGAATTTTTTAGTACTAGTTGTAAAAAAGTTTAAAATGCACATTCTAGGTTACTTAATTGAAACATTAAAATGATCATACCTCATTAAAATTATCCACCATAAAGCACACGTGGGGGTAGACCATCTCTTCTACTTCCCCTTTAGTGTCCATTCTCCGACGACTAGGAGAGGCATAGACTTTCTGCAACACACATGGTTGACAAATTTATGTCAGTGAAGGTTTTAAATTTGAATGGACATTGTGATTAAATAGGTCCAAACCCTCAACTTAGGTATTTTAAACCGTACATAGTTACCTTAACAATTGCGACTGCTTTTGGATCTGTTTGGCTTGTATGACCCCTGTGTAGACCAATTTGTTTCTTACTAAGCAATAACTTGTTTGTGTAGTACTGGTCATAATGGTTGAAAAACTACATATTTAGCCAAAATTTAACCCAATCCTCAAAATAGCCTTGAGCCTATCATTACTGTACAGTCCCACAATCTTGAAATAGGTAGCCAAATGTGAATCGTAAGATTTCTAAGTTTGAGGAATGCCAGGTTACAAGGAAACAATGCCAGAAATCAAAAACCAAGTTTTAATACACGAAGAAGAACATGAACTAGTTGGTGGGATCATGTCCAGCAAGATATGACACACTTGGGAATGCAAGAAGAAGATGCTGAGGACAGAAAGAAACAGATGGAGGCGATGTGCTGCTGAGGCCAAGTAGTGACTGGGATACAAATGGCCATGGCAGTAAGTTGTAAGTTAGTAATATAGTACATATCCGTATTGTTTCTCATATACCTAACAATATTACATTTACAAACCCATTAAGTTAACTTGTTCTAGAAAACAAATTACTTACTTTTTCCAAAACCCTCAAAATTGTGGGCTGTGACGCGAAAAACAACAGCTAACTAAGGGCCATGTCATACGAGCGCTATTGCCGTCGCGCAGATGCCGTCGTGTTAAAGTCGCTCCAACCCGGCAATGGGGTTTTTATGGAGCATGTCATACGGACGCTAATGCCGTCGGCGAGTCCGCGTCAGCCGGACGCTGAGCGCAGCCAACGCGGACGGTCGCGCTAGCGACGCGGCGCACGTGACGCGGGACCCTGTCATACGGAGCGCTAGCGCTAGCGGGACGCATTTGCCGCGTGAGCACTGTCAGAACAACTGGAACACCTTTGGAGTGATCATTACGATATTTGATACGATGTTTGATACGGAAAAATTTATTTATTTAGTTGGAAAACTGCCACCTTTGTACGATGTAAAAGTCGAGTGATTACAGCAACAGGCAACTGAAGGCACAGTGCTGGATTGAGGTTGGGGATGCCATGCACGAAAACTGGAATCAGATGACAGGATTATTGGATTCTTCCGATAATACTCTTCACATGTATCTAAAATGTGCAAAAAGCTGATACAACCTAACTGGATGGTGTCCATCTTGGTAATAACATAATTGCCACGACGGCAAATGCGCCCTGAAGACGCTACGTATGACAGGCACCTGGCGTTGGCAAAGGGACGGCATCAACGCGCTGCATTTGCCGTGACGTATGACATGCAATTTTTCCAGGACTATCTCGACGGCAATAGCGCTTGTATGACATGGCCCTAATCAGAATTCATTGTCTTACTCCTAGATATTGATTTACATTAATATAACTATTTTGGTACCTTACAATATCCTTGTTATTCATTACTGAACTAAATGTTTTGTGGCATCTGCCACATCATCAGGTTAATCCACTTCTAAGATTTGTCATACATTTGAAATTGAGAACACAAAAACATGTTGACATGGCACATTTAACAAAAACTGTACATTGTTTAGAACAACCGTCACAGTTGCTCTAAATAATGTTCAGTTTTTTTTAAATGTGTCATGTCAACGTGTATTGTCCTTAATTTTAAATGTATGACGAATCTTAGTAGAAGACGAACCTGATGAAATATGTAGTTCAATAACGAGAAACAAGGATATTGTAAGGTAGGCCTAAGTAACAAAATATTTATATGAAGCTAACTAATTCTCCAGTTGTCAAGCATGTGTTGCTTTTGCATCCTGGTCCCTATGTCCCAAGTAACACTAGGTCCAAATGGCAAAGTGTACATAGAACAACAGCAAACAGGACATAATGTACTGTGTAACTGTAAAAGCCCTCCACAGTAACTCCCAGAACTGTAAACATGATGGCTTAGAGTTTTGTGGAACTAATGTAAAAATTCTTTATGAGAAATCCATACTGCCAGGTCATTGGGTGCCGAGTTTGTAGGAATTTACTGTGATTGTTAACTGGGGTTGAACTGCCTTTATCACAGTTGGTTGATTTATCTAGGTCTAATATTTCACACCCAAGACATAGGATAATCTATGGCATCTCTCGACTTGCTCATCAGTTAAGCAGTTGTTCTCACCTGGGAGTGCCGCCGTAGCACCTGCAGCTCCTTAGGTGATGTTCTGGTGCAGATGGCGAGTGTGAGAGTGTAGTCAAACTGGTGAATGATGAGGTTGAGATATACAGTCTCCTCCCAGTCCAACTCCGGGTCACCGATAGGCAGCTTACGGCTGTCCTTCCGGTAAACTTCCACCTCCGTCTAGTAACACAACATACCAAGTCATCCTTGATGACTATATTCAGCTTTCAGTACCATATAAAGAACTTTTATCAGTGCAGTGAAAACGTCCAGAAAAGTTCTAGTAATCTAAAGTAACTTCTTTGTTAATCGCTTCCAAAAGATTGGATATTTTCACTGTAATTAGCCATTACATCCAAGTCTGCATTCTGCTATTAACCTTTGCCGACAGACCGCCACCGCCCACCAGGTCCACCACTGCTCGAGCGAACTCCATTACCGCAACGATACATTGAATAGTCGTAGGTCTCGGTGGTGTAGTGGATAGCGTACCGGGCTGATAATATGGAGGTAGCCGGTTCGAAACCCACCGGAGGCATTGAATTTTTGACTTGATTTTTTTCATTATCAGCAAATTTGGTTGGTTTGGTTAGGTTATGATAGTTTAATTTTATAATTAAAAAATTATATAATTGATTTTGAGACATTTATAATTTTATTTTATGAACAGAAGTATTTTGTTATTAGTAGGTAGGCCTAAACCTTCATTCAAAATTTTCATTTTCAGCAAGTTTGGTTAGGTTATGACAGTTAAATTAATTTAAATTTAACCTACAAACGACACGTTTTGACAGCGACAGTGATAGAGATAACAATTTCCCACGAACAGTTCGGCTATGAACGGTATGATGCGCTCTGCACGGCGCGGTGGTGGGCAGTGGCGGTCTGACAGCAAGGTCTTGTCATGCTGCTCGCCCTTGATAGTTTCAACTATTTTTTTTCTAGAGCTGCAGTCTATGAGTACAGAATATAGACATTTCTAGAGTTAGACTCAGTTGAACTCAGAAAAACGAATTTTATTGTAACACTAGATCAGAAAATGAGAAACAAACCTTACCTCATACTTCGGCATGTAACGTGGAGATCCTTTGATATGTTTTTTCCTTACAAAGAATAATAAATCGTCACCATCTATGCAGTGTTCAGCTTGGAACAGGAAATGCCTCACAAATAGATCAGTCCAGTATGAGGAACCTTGCAACACTACAAATCCTGATTCTGGAAATAAAGACCAAATCATGTAAATCATGTCAATGATGAAGGTTTGAATCTTTGAGAGTTGAATCCAAAAAAAAATTGAACCATAGACCTAACCTCTTTTTTCTTCTTGTAACAATAACAACATTGGCTAATACATTTTCAAATGTAAAAATATTTCATGCAAATTTAGTCAATTAGTCTTTAATAAATAATTGAATTGTCCATTGGTTGTATGGGATAAGACTACTTTTAATTATTACTAGCTGGCCCGACAGACGTCGTCCTGTCCTAATGTGGATTTATGACAAATGCTCGTTCATTTTCACTAGTATAATTTGTTCATAATATAACACTAATAACCAGTTATAGGATATATAAAGCCAAAAGTACCCATGAACTTTTGAGAAACCCCCATAAACCATACTTAAAATGTTTGTCACTACGAGAAACCTTGCGCAAAACTATCCATTATTTTATAAATTGCCCTTTAAGGTCGTAATTCCTTTTGAAAGTGAACTTTTCATATACCTAATGTTAAAAATATCTCAGCTGTACTTATTTGTTTGTTATTCTTTCAATTTATTACCTTAATAAAATCAGGTGTGTTTATTTGTTTCTTTTACTGTATTTTGTTTATTTCAGGTTAACTTAACCAATCAATAGTGTTATTTATACTTATGATGTCTAACGGGGGTGAAGCCCATGGGTAACAGCTATAGTCCTCGCCACCCTAAGTTGAGGCAGCCAAAGGCCGCACTAGATATACGCCGTGCGGCCTTGGGCTGCCTCAACTTAGGGTGGCGAGGACTATAGTAGGATATAAAGCTAAAAGTGTTATTGCAAACTGTTATGAATTACCATCTTTCAGTAGCTGCCGCATTTCTTTTGTTCTTTGAAAATTTATCTCTTCCAGTAATTGTTCCAGAGCAGTAGGAGTCTTTAAAAAATTAGCCCCAGGAAAAGCCATTGAACTTTTTTTTAATTACAACCAAAAATTTAACTTATTCTTTTATATTGGTATATTGTATACATGAAAAATATTTGATTCAATTAAACTTGTGTTAGTGGTGACAGTCTTTAAAACCTCCAAACGGAATTTGGCCCATAAGGCAAAAATACCCCTCAGATTATTAGCTTAAGAAGATAATTACAAACTAAATATATACTTCCAGATAGACAATTCTATCGATTTAGTAATTACAACATCACAACACTATCATTCGAAATTCAGTCTTGTCACAATCCAACATTTGCTTTCTACTTTGCCTTTTCTACTTAGTCACATCAATCCATTGCTATTTCCAATTAGATTTCATGTCGTCTGCCTACTACTGACACTGACACTGCCTGTCAGAGCTCTGAGCGTCTGCTAGGATTGACTGACTAAACTCAAACTGGGAGAAGTGAAGTTTGAAGATGATTCACTGCATAACAGCTGAGAGGACGGTTCAATACTGAGTTCAAAGAGTACGAAGTAGAAGATTTTAAAAGTAAAACATAGGCTATAAAAATTATAATACACCCGCTACAAGTAAACCTGCAAACTAAGCGAATTTCTAATATTTGCCTAATTGGGTTTTCACTCAAATAAGTGATTTTAAAAATGGTATATTTCTCTAATTATATAACATTAGTTCAACAAACACTTGCTGATACAGGTAGGGTAATAAAGAGTTTTTTTTATAGTTATTTTTAATAGATTAATTTTCCAAATTTGAATCAAACTACAAAGTTAACTTATTCTCTATTATAATAACAGGAAAATTTTTCTTCCAAAGTATGTTGGAATTTTCTCCTTAACTATTGGCATTGACTAATGCTATTAGGCACATGCTTCAAATATACAGTACTAGATTATGGTTCGGAAAGATATTGCAACAGTTTTATGCTTTTAGGGTCAAAATTAAGAAAACCATATTTTTATTCCATAATCCACCCATACACACCCCCGCACACGTAGTCCAATCATGGTCCAACAATGGCTCTCGAACTCGTTCAAATAAATGTATGTTTACATGTAAATTCCATCAAAATTGGATCATTTTTGCTCGAGTTGCTAACGGACGGGGTAACGTAATTTTACCACAGCAATTTTATCAGCTGGGGCAAAGATAAATGGCTGGATGACAACACTAGCCAGTCTTTTTTACGGCCTTATTCTCAATACTGATGATATGCTATCTAAAGTTTGTTTGTCGGACCCTCAATAATTCAAATGTCACGCCATGGTAGCCTTGTAGACATTTATCAAATACAACTTGACCTCTAGTTTAACAAATATGATTATATTTTCTGTTGTATCAGTAACTGTGCTAGTCCTGGAAAGGATGACAGTGATTCTCACTGGAGTCTCTTGGTTTTTGATAGTAAAATAAAAACAATCTTATCACTTGATACTCTAAGTAAAACTAATGGGGAGGCAGCAATGAGTAGCCAACACTTTTCATGTTCATAACATTTTGTAGAGGTACCTTGTCCACAACAGCGCAACACATTCTATTACACCGTGTGTAAGTTACATGTTTTAACCAACGCAAAAGTTGTGTTCTATGGTTACTGTCTAAGCGAGTCACGGGTTCACTTCTCACTTGGCCAATATGGTACACCTCATTGATGGGGGGGTCTTCTGTTGTTGTACCAACAACGATTGAATCACTCTCTGCCTGTCATGTCAATTCTAAGTACCGGTAATCCCTTGAGCTACATACCTAAGTGTTCTCCTCTAAATCTAAAAAAAAAGGCAAACGAGGTGTATATGGAAGGTAGTTAAACAAAAGAGTAAGACTAAAGCAAAAGGATCTTGTTTCCAAAATGTAATAACTAAATCTCACTCTATTTTTAATACCAATAGGTCTGTGGAATTGTCACCTGTTAATGTACATGATCCTACACCTCCTGATGATTAAAAAACTCCAATCACCTGGAAAGGTTGCCCAGAGTAACAATAATGCACTTTGCCAAAAGTGCTTAACAGCTATTTTTAATGTTCCAAAGTCAATTTTTCGTATTGCATAGTATTTACTTATTATTCGATATATAATAGAACAGATTGTAAAGTAAATAAATAAATAAATAAATAAAAAAACTTTGCCAAAAGATTGTCAACAACGTTTAAGGTAAACGAAGGCAGCCAACCCAAAAAAATACTAAAACTTTGAACAGTAATCTATGGTCCGTTCTTGTCTCGCACTTCAGTAATTATAAGAGCTGTTGGGCTGTCTAAGCGTCACCAGCCAATGCTGAATCCGATAATTGACGAACCAACTCTCAAATACAGAAGCTGGTCAATGGTTTCCAAAATGCCATATTCTGATCTCTTGCATTTTTGAACGGGTTTGTTGGTTTTTTTCAAGGCCCCACTAGAAAAAAACGTTTTTCTAGTGGGGCCTTGGCTGCACTTGAGTGAGAGGGGTAAACTTTGACTTGCTATCTTGTTTGAATGTTTTTTTTTTTTTTAAATTAGTTTAGATTACAAATACATTTAGATAGGCAACCTAATATTGAAATGTTTACTATACAATCAACACTGAAATCAGAAAATTAATTATTCTCACTAATTTCTATATCTTCACAGGGAGTAAAAATCTGGGGAGTAAACATCCGAGGGTAAAATTCCGGTGGTAAAAATCCGGGCTGTACATCTACAGGTAGCCTAAACGCTATTTATATGAACAGGTGGTACAGTATGGATCCTATGACAATATAAAGTACATTGGTTGCGGTTGCGGACCAATGTGATAATCTAACATGAGCATTGACTTTGGATAGTTGATAGTAGCGAAGTCTATACTCAAAGCTAGGAAAGAAAGAGTTTAGACCGGACTGTACGTGACTGTACGCCTTGACTAATCTTGATTTCGTCTGTCGTCTCGTCGTCTGGTCTGTCTGTACTGTAGTGGAGTCTGGACTGGAGTCTGGGTCTGATTCTGTGATTCTGATTCTGGAGTGGTTAAATTTTAGAAATTAGAAAAGAACCAGACCAGAACTAAGTAGTGAAAACTTACTATCGATAGTCACACTATCGATAGTTTTCGATAGTTTTTTAAAAACTATCGATACTATCGATAGTACTATCGATAGTCACTCAAATGGAATTTTAATGCATATAATATTGTATATATCCTGCCTGCATGAGTTTAAACAATGGTTTCTACCTAGTCGAAGATAAAGCTGTATCAGATTATTAATTTTAACAATTTATGAGTGACGCCCTGGAGCCCCCTTTATGTTTTTTTTTTCCAAAATATTACAACATTTGTATAAAATAACAATAAGTTTTTTTTAAGGGTTACAACAATAAAAAAAGAAAAATTCTCTTACTATTTTCTTTTTATTATTCACTACAAAAATATTTTTTACTCACATAGCATAAATAATATATATATATATATATATATTTTATGACAATCTAAAACCATAGATCAAAGGAAAATACCGTATACCGGTGTCTACTATGTATGCTAAAACCCACGAGGCAAATGTACACATAAGTTCGGTAGAGAATTAGCAAATGCCCCCGCTTTCAAATGTTTGAGAAGGTAGCCTACTTGTCTACCGAGCTTTTCTACAATGAATTAAAAAAAAATAGTCTATAATATTAACTATAGGTATGCATTAACAGACAAACAATGAAATGTAAGAGTACCAGATAATGATTTCTTTACTTAATTTAACGTAAAAAAACTATCGATAGTCTCATCGATAGTATAATACTATCGACCCACTATCGATATTTTCAAACTATCGATACTATCGATAGTACTATCGATAGTAAGTTTTCACTAGAACTAAGAAAATGAATGTAAAGTAGCCTGTAGAGTAAGAATAACTGGTTGGTGGTTGGTTTTGTGAGGTGAGGGCCGACTCCGAGGGGTGACTGTGACTGACTTGTGTTACTTTGAGTTTTGAGTGAGAGTTGAGTTGAGGAATAAGGATTGAGGAGGAGGGTGTTCCATCCCACAATAATACAGTACGAAGGGGAAGGATACATAGTTAACAAACAATAAACCCTAATCATGGTAAAAAAGTGAAGGTTGTCATTTTCATTTAGATTGTGTTGTGGCTGGTGAATAATTGTGACTTAAACTTTAATATTACGATTTATCCAAAGAATGTCATAGCGAAAAGACATAATGGAGATTTGCGACATGCTCAAAGAAGAAGGATGGTTAGTAAAATAGTTAAATTAACTGTATGCTGGTTGGTACTTTGGTTAGTTATTAGCCTCCCTTATCCTCTTAGAATCTGATCAAAGATGGCCAAGTTATTATAAACAAATATTTTAATTTAGGCCTCTACTTGTAATTTACACTACATAAGTCTTACCTACCCAAGGTCTAGGCCCTAAGTTAGTAGCCTACAGAATTCATGTAGCTTAATTATTTCTCTCCTCATTCGTTTAAGTTAGGCCTAGCCTACCCCTTTTTTAAAATCTCATTTTCAAGAGAGCTAGGCCTACTTGAGTATGCTTTTTGGTTGTGTGGTCTCCATACCAAACTTACAGACCAGCTAGAATCAGTCCAAAGATGATTCATAAGTTTTCTGAGACAACGAGAGGGGTTTAACTACATAAGAGTTCCCATCAATGTTGTCTCAGAATCCTACGGGTTGCAGCCATTATCATGCAGAAGACGAGTACCGGTAGCAGATGTGTCCTTCCTCTACAAGCTCCTCAACAGCAAGGTAGTCTGCCCTTACCTCCTGGAGAAGATCAATTTCAGATCATCCCACCAGGACTAGGGAGCAGCGTTTATTTGAGCTGGAGCATGCAGAAAGAAGTAACCTCCAGAACAGTTCCATTCCAAGGGTCATGCGTTTTGGCAACAACGTCTCTGTATCGGTGGACCTTTTCATGACAGCCTAGCAGTCATAACACGCTCTGCAGCAGTGCCGGATTTAGGGTACTTGAGGCCCTAGGCCAAATTACTTGAGCGGCCCTCCCCCTCCCCCTGTGGTGGAAATTCCTTGCAATCGCGGAAATAATCGTGAATATCTCTTATGCATCAAGGGGACATCATCATTGACACCCGTGATCGTGGATGAAATCGTGGACATCTCTCCTAAATCAAGTCAAAGCAATCATAGGTATACGAGAGCGTGGCAAAATCATGAACATCCCCACGGGCTGCAACAAAGGGACATTATCACCGTCACCCGCGACCGCAGTAAAATCGTTAAGGGGATACGCCACTATCTCCAACTTTATTTTTATTTTTTAATTTTTGTCAACCTAATTAGTATATTTTGTTTATACTCGACTTATTTAGAAGATTTAGGTCCAAAAAATTGAATTTATGACTTATTTACTAAATGTATATGCGGTTTTAGTTTTTTTCACCCAAATTTTTAGGGATTCGGTATTGAGAATAACTTTTTAACTACTGAACTGAATGACATATTCTATTTATTTCCTGATTCAGGATTAAATAATGAGTCATTCTGTGTATAATCGTTATGGTAACTAACAAAACAAGATTTTTAGGACACTTTATTCAAAATATAAAAAAAGCTAAAAAAATTTAAAAATTAAGCGTAAACATAAATAGTTTTAGTAAATGTAATGCTATAGGGGTTTTTATACACACAATCCCTTATTACTTTATAAAGAAGGTCTGGTGAAAATTTGAATACTATAAGTATAGTACTAACGGAGTTATTCTAACTTTTGTACAATAACAACCTAAAAAACACGGTATTGAGATAATCGCAGGTGATTGGCAGAACTAAAATCCCCATGACAACACTAGTTTATTATTTTATATTATATATAAAAATACCAAAGTACTTATTTTGTTTTAAATAAATGTACCCTACTTTAAACCTTCATAATACATAATTATGATACAAAATCAAAAATGTAAATATCAGGAACAAAAAAAATAAATAGTCAAAGTTTTTTTCAAATTACTGGTTGCGGCGTTTTATATTTTATTTATTTTATACTAGGAGTTGTCAGATTGGAAACATTTTTTAGGTAAATGTTCACAACTAAATAACCTATCTAAAAATGCAACTTTTGGAAAATGTAAAATAAATAAAAAATATGGCCCAGAGATAGTGGCGTATCCCCTTAACATCTCCCGTGGCCCGCAATCACAGGGACATCATCATCAACACCCACGGCTGCGGCAAAATCGTTAACATCTCCCGCATGCCGCAATCACGGGGACATCATCATCGACACCCACGGCCGCGGCAAAATCGTGAACATCTCCCGCGGGCCGCAATCACAGGGACATCATCATCGACACCCACGGCCGCGGCAAAATCGTGAACATCTTCTGTGGGCCGCAATCATGGAAACATTATTATGGTCACCTGTGATCGCGGCAAACTAATGGTTAAAAAAATTATTTGTTTATCTAAAAAAATTGTTGTGCAATCTTCTGCGGCCCCCTCTTGCTTGCGGCCCTAGGCCGCGGCCTAATCGGCCTAGTGGTAAATCCGGCACTGCTCTGCAGCCACATCATGCTCCCCGCCACTGAGACCTAGTGTGTCCTATTGTTATTTGTTATCTTTTCACATCTCTTTTTTGATTTCTGTCTAACTTATTTCACTATGTTTGAGTTATCATTGCTATTGTTGATCCATTGTTTCAAACTGTTATTGTTGAATCAAATAAGTTATTTACCATTGTTACCGGTATTGCGTTTCCATATTTTATTTTGTACTTCGTTGTTATATTGTTGCTTTCCTATTGAAGATTATATTTCCTGTTACCGATGTTGCTCCTGCCATGTAGAATTTGTTTAGTTTTCTGTTAACATGCATGTTGTCACCACATAGGCTTTTTGCATCCACATTGTAAATTGGCGATCTTGCTGTTGGAATTAATATAAATAACTTAAATAAGAGGGGTTACCTAAGTTAAGTTTTTTTTTTTTTTTTTGCTGGACGCGCACATGAGGTTAATATGGGTTTGTGCAAACTAAGTGGCTCAAAGTCCAGTACTTTGGTGTTATCCGGAGGCCACCCTTATACAGCGCGCTGCAGGAGTTTTGTCAGGTTGGGTTTATCACTTTAAGTTAATGGACTTATTGTCCAAATTTGACATGATTTCAATAAGCGGCCTTTAAGTTCTACCTCCCAGAAGGCAGCTAAATTATGTTGGCGAGGATTGAGTTGAATGCATCGCCGCCTATAGCTGCCACACCAGATGCAGGCAGTGACAAGTGATGCATACGCTCCGGCCAACAACCTCACCTTGGCCTTCTTGGTGGGGAATTGGCGAGCTAAAGTATGACTTATCTGGTATTGTTTGATTCATAATGAAACGAGGGAAGTCTTACTAACATATTTATGATAACCTAACCTAACATAACCGCCGCAGCATGCTGTAAGGATGGCCTCCAGATAATACTAAAGGACCCTATGTCCTATCAGTAAGCTTAGTGCCAGACTCCAACGGGCTCGTTGTCCCCGGACTACCTACATAAAAGTGCCCTCGTCTCTTAAGGAACTATTAACGTAAGCACATACTTCGGGCTAGGCCTTTTTGACCTAGTTATGCCATTAGGACTTTCCTACTCATATTTTTCTGAACGTTAAGGCCGATTGAGATTGACCTTAGCCAAGGGGTAAGGCAAGCTTGGTAAGACAAGGGGGGGGGGGCCGAAGCATAGCTCCAACAATGCTGTCGGGAGTGATATTCAATGCCAGTCTAAGAGATCAAACAAGCTCAGCGGACATGTCACCTGTCACAATGGAATAAGGTTTTCCCGGCCGTATCTGCAATGCCATGACAGTCTGAGCTGGCGGTCTTCCCCATTCTGTGCAAAGAGGCTCGGAAGTAGGCTACCCGTGACCCAACAAAAAGTAGGTCACAAAATACCTGACATCCCCCTGCTTTTTGAATGCTGGGAACGAGCCTGGTGGTCCAACGTTCCCTAGACTTAGCGTCCCATTCGCGCCGACAGCGTTCAAAACTGTTAAACACTTCTCTCTGGCAGCAGTCTCTCTACCTACTTCAGGTCTCCTGCGATAGATCGCCTGCCACTCCCTCATGAGATGGAAGACGGGGATGACACTGGCAATCACCATGACTGCAGGTACATTGACCCAGCGGTAGGCAGATGCGACTTGTTAAGACTTTTCACCACTGAACTTGAGAAAGCCGGCTTGATTGACGTGCCTCTCCAGCACATGGGCCAAGACCTCAGCACCAATTGGACAGCTGACATCAGTAGGCGGGATTTGCAGGAGCTGACGACGTTTTTGGCATAAGGCTACTATAGATAGCAACTCCCTCAGTGGCTTTGCCAACGGTTTGCTTTATTTGCTCACTGAAAAACATTTGTCTGTCAATCATAATACTAAGGTATTAGGCATTAGGCTTGGTCTCCAGTTGTACATGGCCCAATTGTACAGGAAGCATGGTGGGAATTCTCTTCTTGGTTAAGACCACGATCTCAGTCTTTCCAACTGCCAGCCCAGCAACGAGCCGTGATCCTGCATCTGCTCGTTGACTTGGAACATCACTACTCTGAGTTTTAGCTTTGCATCCTCGACATTCTGCCTGTAACCAGAGCAGCAATATCATCACCAATGAACCGTGTTTCATCGGGCATTTGTAGTCTTAGCAGACTGTTATAAAGACATGTTACAAAGATACCCTAGGACCAATCCCTATTCAGCCCCAGGGTTGATGGAGATCCTACGGTGACCATCAGGGTGTCTAAAAGCATGACACTGTCTGCAAGGTAGGACTCGATTATTATTATCAGGATGTTAGGAGGATCATGGGACATATGCTCGAGCACCCGCAGCATACCGCTCCATCTGGAGGAGTTGAAAACGTTAATAGTCAACGCCCTATTGTATTTTCTCACCCCAACAACAAATGGCTTTAATAGAGCAGAACTTGTTTAATATTTAAATTACAGAAAAACCAGACTAATCCGTCCTTGACTAGTCCGTCTCCTTGCTTAATCCGACTGTGCTATCACCTTTTGGTGACAATGATATTATCACAGTGATATGTATTTACCATGGTGATGTGGAGATCGTCATTTTCGGGATGGCGGCAAAATATAGAACATCTGCCACGGTCTTGGGAACTTAATCATCATTGTCCACAATCGTGGAAAAATCCTATACATATCCCACAGTTACGGAAATAATCATAATCGTCTTTGGCGATCGTGGAAAAATCCTCAACATCCCCCACGGTCGTATGGACATAATTTTCCATCTTCCTCGATCACGGCAAAATTATAAACAACTGTTCAACTCGTTTGGACATCATCATTGTCCCTAGCAATCACGGAAACTTTATCATTGTTAGTCGTACCTATCTGCGATTGCCGCAAACTCCTGAATATCTCCTGTGGATATTGGAAACATCTCCTCTCCCGCGATCAAGGCTAAATACTGAACGCCTCCCGCGGTCACAGAAATATTATCATCGTCTGTAATCAGGTGTGGTCAATAAATGTTACGGATTAGCGAGGTTTTACCATAAAGTTATTTGGTCTAGAGTTGAAGTTTTCTTTTGTTTTACAATAACTTTGAAAGACCAATTACTTAATATTACTTAAAGAAGAAAAGAGTTGCTTGATAATATAATATTTTTACAATTATCTATTAGCAATTGCCGTAATGTTTTATTATTGTTTAAGTATTGTAGGCCTAATACAAAGTTTTTTACCTCATTTTTCTAGGCATCTGTCCAATGATGCTATCCAGCGAATATCAGAGAATGGAACAATCACGAACATTCGCACTCTGCACAATAAGATTCTAGATGTAAGTATACTCTACTGTTTATTTTATCTTAAAAACTGTAATTTTTCAATCTTATATTGCATCCATAAATGCTCACTTTGTTATAAGGTATAAATGTAGTAACTTTAAAAGTTAGTGAAATTCAAATTTTAAATCAGATTTTAACTTAGAAAATAATTTCTTTAGCCTAACTTATGTATAAAAGCTATCAAGAACATATTTAACTAGTTATAAGTTGACACATTCTAATTTATTTGGTTATGTACCAATGACCAATACCTAATAATTATATCTAGGCCCCACACTAGTTATAATTGTTTTTTTTTTTTTTCGCTAACAAGGTGGGCTAGTTATAGATGAAATGGTTTGTTTTAAATTTGTTGTTTTTGGCTCATTGTTATCCTCTGCCATTTTATTTCTAGCTGGACCTAAGAGAGATATCAGTGCCATTTTTCCCAGATGATATTGCGAAGGGAAAACTGGATTCTGTAAGTATTCTCCAAGCTTTAGAATAGGCTATTATCTAATTTGCTTAAAAAAAATATATATATAGAGTGCATACATCCTAAACAAAAGTGTGAACCAGACTAGGGTGTCAATGTATTTCAAACATGTTCAATGGTTTATCTTACAAACATGATACGTTAGCAATAGGTCTTATCATATGCTAAAAAAAATAGAGTTTGTGTTCGGCTATAATAATAGGGGGGGGGAGGGGGAAGGAACTTATATAGTAAACAAGGTTTTTGGGAATGTTGAGGACGTAGCCTGGAATCGTTAACAATAACTTTTTGGGTTGACCTACAAAAGGTTGTTGCTCCGAGGAAGGCAGTGCATTTAATCTGGGGGGGGGGGGGGGGGGGTCAGTTTGTGAGATGAAGGTAGTATCCAAGATGTAGCTTTTGCACCAAGTTTCAAGGAGTTTCTAATTTAAGGTTGGCCAGGTCTGAACAGTGTGTTCCCAAATTGAAACTTAAAAGTAACCATTACAATTACGTCCAGTCTACTTGACCAGGTTTTGTTGTACTGTATGTTTCTTAGTATTATAGGCTATTTTAAACACTTAATTTGTGAAAAAAAGGTTGTTTAAATTTTTAAATTCCTTCCAGAGTTTTAAAACTGCTAATAAAGACAACGAATGTAATTGTTTGTGAGTAAATACTGTTTACTTTTAAAATAATGTTAGGCTACATACTGTAAAAAAACTAATCATCGATTGATTTCTAAATACTTTGACATTGGTTAGGGTTCCGTTTCCCAGTTGTCGAAGCAAATCACCAAATTCATTTTCATCGGCATTGACACACATATTTTAGTTAGTTTAAGGAACATAAAGAAACAGAAACTACTTCCATATTATTAACTAGCTGTGTACCCGTTCTACGCACGGGGATCTTATAATATTCAGTTGAAACCTTCTTATATAAAGAACAGCAGTTGGTTTGCATATTTTAAGATATGCTGGCCAAACTATTATACATAGCTTCATTTTATGTTGTTTTTTGTTGTTCCGGATCGGTATGACAATCAATAAAAGGTTAAATTACCTCTGTGTCTGCCGGTCGATCCTATAACGGTAGGCTTACTTTTATTTTTACTATCTGATCTCGTTTGCATGGCTCAATCACGTCCTGGTTGAAGTTCGTTCGCTACGCTCACTCACCTGTATGTTGGAGCTCGTTCGCTGCGCTCACTTTCCTTCAGGTTAGCTCGTTCGCTACGCTCACTTGCCTTCAGGTTAGCTCGTTCGCTACGCTCACTCGCCTCCAGGTTGCAAATTAGCTGTTGTCATAAATGTAAAAGAAATAATAGTGCTAGTGCTGCACCCTGTTGGTAATCCTTGTAACTTTAATGCTATTGAACATCACAGAACAGAACCAACTTGTTTAATTGAAACAGCTGTTAAGATTCAATAATTTCATTTCTCATAAGGTTAACATGGGCTTCCAGAAATTCCACGTCAAAAATCGACAAAAACTTGATTTTCAAGGGTTTACTGTTAAATATCTAACTGTCTCATATTCGATGAAATACGTCTAAAACCATCTCATATATGTATAGTATTTGGAAAATAAGTTTCAGGCGGGACAGTGCTATAGTTATTGAGGAGTAGTTGTAATAAAGTGCGTATTTTAGCGTTACCAAGAGAATGACAGATAGACAGACAGACAGACAGACAGACAGACAGACAGAAATTGAGATAAGGTTTGATTCGGTTTCTCTGACCTATGAAATGTAAAAATAACCAAAAAGTTCATTATTCTAAGCAATTTACAGACAAAACTCTAATTTTATTTATATAGATTGAACCGTTTTTACTTGGAACATCAGGCAGTATCTGGTTAAAATCTCCTCCAAACAATATTATTTTCCACCCTGTCCTTAACCATTCCCTGTGCTGTGCACCAGTCATAAATACTTTCCTTCGTAGTCCTGGCCTTCCCCAAACACGATACATTTCAACAATACATTACCAGTCTAAACAAAAATAGAACCATTGACTATTGGATCAAGGCCCCACTAGAAAAACAGGCCATGCTGCAGTGCGGGCAGCGCAACACAACGTCAATCTTACCATTAAAATGTGACAAACAGCCAGCTTATTTACCAAAAACATTTATGGGATATGGCAGTGAATCTATCAATGAATCTACCCACTTGTGTGACGTCATGGGTCCTGCAGCATGGCCTGTGTTTCTAGTGGGGCCTTGATTGTATACGCAAGATGTATTAATAGTCAAAGATTGAGCACTACAATCAATAAACAAAATATATGTTTACATCAGCTGGTGTATTTAAAACAGCTTATTGAAACACCGTAGCAGTACTTCCATTAGAAAATGACTGGATCTTTGATGGGCTGTGGGACAGAGCAGGGTTAATTTTTGACACTTCTAATATCAACACCGTCCGTCCGCCGTTTTGACATCGTCTGTAGACCTTAAGCTTTCAAATGAATCCTCAACAGCCAAGTTACCTTTTTCCTAGCTCGAGATATTTCGTGGGGACCGATTTGCTTACAGAATTAAATACATAGATTTCCAGGCTATAGAAAAAAATAATGTGGATGACGGAACTACCCATGTTACAATACATAGCAAGTAAAAGCTAATCCTAATTATTGCTTATTTATTACTCGGGTTGAAGAAGATACTTTCTACTCCCAGGGTATGTTAGACAGGCTGATGAGCTTAGGCTACATCACAAAGAATGAGTTTTCCAACACTATATAAAATCCTGTTTTGGAACTAACCTGGTTAGAAATTAAGTTTGTGTGAAGTAATGTGAGGGAATGTTTACCCTCAATGATAAATTTAAATTTTACAAATTTTCCAGACAGTTCAGGGCACGTCTAACTATCCAGGGTCTAAAGTTAGTCTATCTTTTGATTTCTCTATACATCTCGAGGTTTAAGCTCAGTCCGCCGCAATCAGTTATGCTTACAATGGACTCATAATCGCCCATTTCGAGATATTGAATTTGAACTTTGACCCTACGGTCTTTACAACAGAATTATCGCGGTAACTAATGTTTACCGTTACGTTACCAACAGATTTTTGAGGTTGGGTTGCCACATGACCCTTGCCCTAACCGCTGATAAGCTCGGCCGCTACCTCAACTCTTACCTCTATCTCTACTCTTACCTCTCTCTCTATCTCTATCTCTCTCTCTCTATCTATCTCTCTCTCACTACTCCTTATTCTGTCTGACACCCTAATATAATAAATACTCTTGTCGTCTAAATCATTCAAACATAACTTCCATAACAATATGATTAATTCAAATAAGCCAATTAATAATCTAACGAAAGAATTGGGCTTAGAACCTAGAAATAATTACAGACGAGAAAACAAAATAAAACGTTTATTCTCATCAAAATAATATATTTATTTATTTGTTTATTAGGAGAATATATAATACCTTCTTCAAATAAATCAAATAAACTGTAAGGGATAAATAACCCTTACAGTAAGTTAATTATTAGTTTTATAATTTATGCTCTGATTTGTCTAAGGTGCCTGGGAACGTGATAGTGCAAGTACAGAAGGTCAGGAATATTTCCGCACCGAAGGCCAATGAGGATTCCCAAGCTGCACCTCGTATGTTGAAGATTCTGCTCACTGACGGACATACTACTTGCTACGGCATTGAGGTGGAGCACATTACTTCCCTCAGGTCAGTTGGATATTTTATTTTAATACAACATACCTAGGCTATATAGTTTCTCTAGATGAGTATATCTCCCTCTCCTCGTTGCATTGTAACGTTTAATTAATGAAAAATTGTAGAATTGACCAGCACATTGCTCAAGTGTGATATGTGCTACCTACAGTAGGGACCATGAGAGTTTGCAGTTGGTGGCAGCATATCACAAGACAGGGCGAATGCAACATTGCCATATCGCCTGTTGTTGACGCTAATTAAAATACTAAACAATATTTTCAGGTCAGCTGGTATTATTAGATTTGGCAACAACGTACAGTCCTCAGTTGGGTACTTCGAAGTCATATGGTAAATAGGCTCCTCCCTCAAGTGCAGACTCTCGTGGACCTTACTGTAGTGGAACTCTTTTGTAATTTTGTGTACTCATGTCTTTCACCAATATTTCTTTCATGTATCATCCATTCCTAAATAGAGTATAGGCTATTTACTCTAGCTATGGTGGTAGGCATACCCTGTACTGTAATTGTACCTAAACAATGTAAAGTTGTAGGCTACTAAATAATGGTGTAAATACCTGCATTCATGTGATCAATTTGTTGCTAAATTGCAACCGGTTTCGACTCACAAAGGAGTCATCGTCGGGCCAGTACAGATGACTCCTTTGTGAATCGAAACCGGTTGCAATTTAGCTACAAATTGATCACATGAATGCAGGTATTTACACCATTATTTAGTATTTAACTGTGATCAGGAGGCTAAAATTCAATATAATGATTGTAGGCTACAGTTGCTTACTCAACATAGGTACATTTATTTTAATTAAAGATTTGTCTACGAATGTTTAATTTTTTTCTTCTTTATATGAGTTTTTATATAATGAATAATAACAGATTTAAAATCATTGGAGACAGCGAAGATTTTGATCTCTAGTGATAATGATCTGTACCAGCCAACTCTCAAGTCGGTTTTATTTTTTCCCCAAAATTTAGACCAAAATTTGTTGTATGTAGCCTCAACACAGTTCCTGGTACCAAGGTGATGTTGAAGGGAGAGTCACTGATGATGTCTCATGGTCTGATGCTACTCAAGCCTTCCGTAGTGTCTGTGTTGGGTGGACGTGTCACTGCGCTCATAGACAAGTGGGAACTCAACAGGGTGTGTTGTACTTATATATGAATATTTTATTTTATTTTACTGTGATATAAGTAAACGTAACTAAATTTGTGGCTGTTGCACACATATTTCATAATTTACTTATTTTACTCATAAAGTATCCATTAAAATTGCTTAGTAAGGTCCCAAAAAAACTTTAGTTTATATATGACAAGTGTTGTAGTTCACACTATAGCACTGATTAGGTACAGGATTTGATCAAATTGGTTGAAATAACAGATGTTTACTTTTCTGCAGAGTTTAGCCAAGCACACCAGAGGTCGTATTGGGGAAGAAGGTGGACCTCCCCCTTGGATACCGTTTGGCCAGAAGATCCTTAGACCTAACCTGCAGGATAAGAATTTCAAGGTATGGTGTCATGTCTGAATTTTTTTTTAATTTGCGTTTAATTTTGTTGGTTATGAATGAACTGTTGTGTTTTGTTGTGACACCTAAAACTCATGAAGTAATTGTGAATGCACATTCTTGTCACAAGAGCAACATTTTATTAGAGACGGTGGTCAAATTCAAATAATCTTTATTTGTTTGTAGCATAGAATACATACATAATTTAAACATACATAAATCTAAGCATTTAAAATACAGTACCTTGAATCCGATCCCATGTCCTAAAACTTCAGGTTTGAAAACTTTATTTCAATTTTAATTCTTGAAAAGAATAATCGTTCAGAGCTTACAAGAGCTGTCTAGTTCTTTACGTGATTTTTGCTCACTATTTTCTAAGTTGGAGTAAATGTTATTTTAATTGTTACTGTCGGTATATCTGATCCACGGTTAATACCTTATAATATCATGTTAATGCAATATTTAAGGTTGATCAATATAATTATTTATTTATGTAAACATGCAAATGATGATATTAATGTCTATTTACACAATATTACGATGATTTTCATAGGATTTTTATACTATGTTGAATGAATTGTGGTTTCACATTAACGTTGGTGTCCTTACCCCCACTTCCCCAGGTAAACGGAGTTCTATTGTATTTCAATTATTTCAGCTAACCCGAAAAATTTTCTAATTCGAACAGTGTTTGATCCTATCTAATTTGGATTAGCCGGACTCAAGTGTATTCCTATTCTAAACAATTCCCAGATTATTTTTTATCCAGCCTGAAAAAATAAAACACAAATTTGTATATAAATTGTGTAATTGCTAAACTAGTGATTGTTTACAGTCGCTGGTAGATCTTGGTGGCAAGGAGAACGCAGAGTTTGAGGCTCAGAGGCAAGGTGCCATAGCGGAGGCAGCTCGGGGAGGTGCTCGTAAAGTGTTTGGAGGCGGCACCAAGCCTATCGTCGATCGCAATGTCAGGACCATCATGGACTACGGATACTCTCAGGACCAGGCAGAACAGGCTCTACGACAAACTAGGAACAATGTCGACCGAGCACTGCAGAATCTCCAGGTAAACCAGCCTAAAGATAGACCTATAGCGGGGTAGCTAAGTGGATATATTGTTCTCTGTAATATAGTGTTCATTGTTATACAGGGTGGCTGAAAAGTATAAGTAACTTACACCCCCCTTAACTTTTCAACCATTTCAGATATTTAAAATCTGTTTGGGCAACCTTCTTAGATACGAGGGGCTACAATAGTTATGGTCAATTTTGAAAATTTTGCCCTTAGGGGTAGCAGGGGTAGGGTAGCTCAAAATGTTCAAATGACAAGTATAGACGAGTTTGGTATCATTTTACAGGACTTGACAAAACATAACAATTGAAAAAGAAAACCAAAATCGGCCTACTAATAACAAAATGGCGCCCTAAAACGTTTCAAATCCAAATAACCATGAGGATGGCTGAAAATTCACTTTTTAAAATTAAAACCCCCTTTAACTTTTTAACCATTTGAGATATTTGAAATTGGTTTGCAGAAAAATGTTTGGATATGTAGGGTTACAATAATTATGGTCAATTTCAAAAAAAAACTTCCATTAGGGGTAGTGGGGGGTAGGGCGTAGCTCAAAATTTTCAAATAGCAAGTATAGTCGAGTTTAGTATAATTTTACTGGTCGGTCTTGACAATACATAATAATTAACATGAAGAAAGTAGAAATCGGACAATTAGTTACAAAACGGCAGCTAAAAATGATTAAGACAATGGTTATTAAAAGTTATTTTGAACTGCCAATTTGTTATTAATGATCCAATTTCTATTTTCTTTATGTTAATTGTTATGATTGTCAAGACCTATAAAATTATATCAAACTCGGCTATACTTGCTATTTGAAAATTTTAAACTACCCCCTACCCCCGCTACCCTTAGGGCCAAATTTTCAAAACTGACCATAATTATTGTAGCCCTTCGTATCCAAACAAGTTTCTGCAAACCAATTTCAAATATCTCAAATAGTTAAAGGGGGTGGAAATTAATTTTTAGCCACCCTCATGGTTATTTGGATTTGAAACGCTTTAGGGCGCCATTTTGTTATTAGTGGGCCGAGTTTGGTTTTCTTTATGTCAATTTTTATGTTTCGTCAAGAACTGTAAAATGATACCAAACTCGACTATACTTGACATTTGAAAATTTTGAGCTACCCCTAAGGGTAAAATTTTCAATATTGACCATAATTATTGTAGCTTCTCATATCTAAGAAAGTTTCCGCAAACATATTTCAAATATCTCAAATGGTTGAAAAGTTAAGGGGGGTGTAAGAGTTTTTACGCTTTGAAACTGGATCCAAGTGTAATTGATACCTAGTTGGTCTTTTAACTAATGGTTCTGATTAAATAACCAGATGATATTAGTAGTCTGTAACAAAGCTGCTATCTCATTCATTTAAAACTTATTCATAGGGATGGTCAAGTCTTGAAATTTCGGGAAATTTTACATCTCGTTACACGAGACGAGATTTCTTTTTGGCCGAGATTTTTATCAAGACGAGAATAAAAAAAAAAATTAAAAACGCCTGCAGAAAGTAAATGCAATACCCGCAATACAGGAGCGTGTTGTAGTTGCGTTTCCTTTGCGAAGGCGTTCTTATTAAATTAATCGTTTTAATGTAAATATTACTTTAATTATTTTAATAATATTACTTTAATAACATTTGAGAAGTTTTGTTAAGTTTAAGCAGTGTGAGGAATGTTTTATTACTATAAAAAGTCAAAACAAGTAACTATTTTATAAAAATGAATATTGCTTTTATTTTATGATTTATTTTATTTTAGGATAAGTTGAACTCTATCCAAACTGATATCACTATGTTTCCTAATTGTAGGCATTTTTAATAAGTTAGGCGTGATTAATAAAAAAATGTTATGCTGATGTTTTTTAATAAAAGATTGTAAATATTCTTGCATATTATCATTACTTTTGTATTTAAACAGTCATCTAACAATGTTACAAAATCAGGTAAAAATTTTGAACGAGCATTTCCCGTTGTGTATGAGAAGGGAAATCCCGTCTCGATCTCGTCTCGAAATTTTATGAGAAATAAAAAATCTTGTCTCGTCTCGTCTCGAACTAAAAATCTAATCTCGTCCATCCCTACTTATTCACCTTCAAATACACATCCTGGTCTGTATTACACGTCCTACATCTAATGCAATGAAAGAGTCTAGGTATGAGACAAAAAGCTCACCTGGATGGGGGAAAAACAATTCTGGCACAATAAACACAAAACTGTGCACTATCAAAATTCTGGTATCATTAAACGAGGAATACATAGTAGGCTAGTTTGATGAGAAATAAGAGTATTTATTTAAAAGAAGAATGCAACTTCTAATTTAATTTATCATAACAATTGAATTATGCAGAAGCAGGTATTTAAAACAGTTTTGTAACTTTTAGCTGTATTAAAATAAAATCACTGTGCCTGACATGGCTATGTTATATTTCAGAGGAGGTCAGGCAGTGGAAGAGAAGGAGGCAAGGGTGTAGGGGGAGGCAGAGAGGATGGGAGAGAGGAGAGGAGAGGGGAGAGAGGAGGCAGGCGGAGAGGTGATAGAGATGAGGAGGGTGGAGGAGGACCCAAACCTTCCGGACAAGTATCACTGTTTGCCTTCTTAGAAGATAAACTACCTACTTCCACAGGTATAAACAGTCATGAGTTTAGGATGTAACATAGATAGACCATGAGGGTCTAGGGTTTTTAAATATTTTCTGAGGATACACCCACCTGAATGGGAAAGAGTCCAGACTGGCACAAGAAACTCAAAACTTTTCACTATAAGCCTACACAAAACATTAGCATATTTCTTTGCCATTAACATAATTTTCCCTGTCCACTATTTGCCTCGAAGACAACCTTCTCATTTGAAAAAGCTGTCAGTGATAGTGAAATATTCTATTAGGTTTAGTGTAAAGTTTTATGTTTCTTGTTTCAAATTTTACTCTTTCCTGTTCAGGTAAGCCTGCTATCCACACAAAAATACTTTTAATGTTATATGAGTTATTTTGAAAAGGTTCAGCTAGCTTTCTTCATCACTGATGTTTAGGTTACAGTTGAGGTAACTTTACCCTTTTACATTTACGTGCTTTTAATCTCCAAACAATTTCAATCCACGTGTTTATTATCAAACAAATTTACTTGTATGTTTATAATGTTGTAATATCACTGGACTTTGTATTATCTAATAACAGAGAAGGAAGAAAAGGAGAATGAGAACCACCCGGTGTCAGGAGGATACAGTCACTCTAACAACCAAAGATACAACAACTCGTACCAAAAGGGTCGGTCAGAACGAGGCGCCAAAGGCCGAGGTCACTACAATGGTCCTTCGGAGTCTAGGAACCGAGATGAGCGCAGTAGACCGAACAACCCGCCTGTACAGAACCAGAAACCTCCTAGGTGAGTTGTGTTGACTGTACGAAATTATAATCCTTAGGAATGTTTTAAGTGGAACTTAGATATTATCAGGAGCTGTTTTCTCAAGAAAGTGAATATCAATAACTGTACAATTTTAAAGGTTTAATTTATCTGTGTTTTGCTCTTTGCTTTGCAACGGGATGTTAGCTAAGGAGAATAATGTTTGATGGACTATTCTAATCCATCAGTGGTTTCCTTTTATATTTAAATAGTATTGCTTGATCCAAACCATGTCTGGTGCCTCTTAGTTCCATGTTATGCTTGAGTTTCCATGTTCTTTTGCCTTCCCAAAGATTGTACTGAGTACCTTAATTTCACAAGCTTCTACCTCATAACTCCTACATGGCTTGGATACAGAAAAGTTGTAGTAAAACACTTTAGATTAATTCGTCCAAAATTTGTCTTCTGATTCAAAAGGTTTCAAAACCAGCAGCAAAGACACAACGAGTCGTATCAGAGCTGGAACTATAGCGATTACAACTACGACGACAGGAACAACTTCAACAACCGGTTGGCCCGAGGCTACGAGGATATGAGCGGAGACAATTACAACAGAAGAGCGCCTGCAATGCCTCCGACATACGAGCCTTCCCATGACTACAGCCGAGGTGGCAATCGTCGCTACGACATGCACTGTAAGACTTGATAAATGACTAAAACAATAACTGGTTCTAAATAGGCCTACTTCTCATCAATTATAGTTTGGCTGATGTTGTCAAATATCAAGCTGGATCAGGTTCTGTCTATAGACACTGAATTCTCACCGCGTTTTATTTTACTTGAGGATTACAGTAGTTTTATTTTATTGTACTAAGGGAACCACATAAGTCTATGTTATTACTGGGAATCATAGAAGCCACTTGTTCTATCAGGGGTCAAAGAAAGCTACATTGTAGGAAGTCACTGAGCTTGTTAGGTATCACAGAAGAGAAATCATTAATAAACAGTCAATTAAATTTAAATATAAATTTGTCCGCAGTTTTTTATAAAGCCATTGAAAAAATATTGAAAACATTTGACTTCACATTCACCTGAAAAAACCATCAGTAAAAATAAAATGCATTGGAACTCCAATCATCTGATTCAATTGTCCGATCCGGGCCCCATTCGGATAATCAAATATTCGGATGGTTGAATTTTTTTTCCAAATTCAGAGTCATTTTAAAGAAAATAGTCTGAGACATGCCTAAGTTTTACTGTTGCGATCGCAGAACATGTCTGTGACGATTTCGGGATCAGAAAATTTAAGCTTTTGCCGCCATTGTGGAGTATGAGTTCGATTTTCTGTGACCGCGGGAGACGATGATGGTGTCAACACGACCATGGTATATGTTTAAAATTGTGCCGCAATTGTGAAAACCCATGGCGATGTTACCCCATTACTGCGGTAGATGATGATGGTGTCCACACGACCGTGGGGTATGTTTATCTTTTGGCTGCAATTGTGAAAAACGATGGCGATGTTACCGTTCCTGCAGTAGAAAATGATGGTGTCCACACAACCGTGGGGTATGTTTATCTTTTGGCCACAATTGTGAAAAACTATGGCGATGTTGCCGTTACTGCGGTAGATGGTGACGGTGTCCACACAACCGTGGGGTATGTTTATCTTTTGGCCACAATTGTGAAAAACGATGGCGATATTACCGTTCCTGCAGTAGATTTTAAGTTTGGATACTTGTTTTCTGGCTATCAGTTACCAACCATCATTGTTCATGGTTAAAACTCTGTAAAAAGAAGTTGATCTAGTTAGTAAAAATTAATACAATTCTCAGAACCCTTTCAGTTAAACAATGTTTTTGACAACTAGTTTAAAGATAATCAACACTACTTTACCCTGTTTTCACAATGTGACTTACCAGGAATACCTTTTTATGAATTAACTACCATCTTTCTCTATCATTTGAATCTTTAACTAGATAAATTAATATGTTATGTTGGTTTTGCAGCCAGTAACGGTTCGACATACAAGGGCTCTCAAGCGCGTCAAATGATGGAAGCAGGAATGCCGGAGATTCCAGAGTTTCCGTTCAAGGACGCCTCCTCCTTGCCACCTCTCCTCTCAAACAATACTCCTAGTAAGTCAACAGTCCCTCATTGTTTCTACATCTAGGTGCATTTGACTTTGAACATATTTTTCAATAGGGAAGAAGCTATTACCATAGGTGGCACTGAAGGACGTAGACCCTGGAACGATTTACTTTTTTAATTTGATCTCACATGAAGCTAACCTTTTGTTTCAAATATTACGGAAATTAAAATTTTTATGTATATGAACAGTAAATATTAATCTATAGATAATATCTTTAGATAAAAATATTTATATATTACATACATATATGATTATGTAAATGTGTTCATAAACACAATAACTAGAGACATTCTGGTCCGAAATTTTGCTTAAATGTGTAGAGCTAGTTAAACTTGAGGCTTGTAATTTTTTTTTTTTTCATTGGCAGGTAAATCAAAGCAGTTAAAACCGTAAGGATGCAAATGATAATAGACTTGTTTTTTATCTAATCCCCAGCAAAACTGTAATAAAATCATAAAATTCTCCATGGGCAACTACTGTCCAAAAAAAAAAAACATGTAAGTTGTTGTAACATATTTTAGCCCAATAAATAAATTTACCATTGATATTTAAAAAATAAGTACAGGAATATTATTTCTTTAATCTGTATACATATATATATATTTAATCTGTTGACAGGTTACTTCCACAACACTCCCCCGCCCACAATTCCACCCCCGCCTCCAGGACTGGGCACCAATGGGGAAACTCCCGCCTGGGTATGGAAGATCGGGGACAAGTGTATGGCCAAGTACTGGGAGGATAACATGGTTAGTATCTGAACACCTAACCACCAGAGCTGTTTGATATATTACTGTATACATACCAGATCTACCTCGTCCTCTGTAGTAGCTTGAGTGGATCTAGGTAGCTAGCTTAACCAAAGTCCAAACCCGGGTCATCCACTACACTAGGTGTTGAGGCAGAGCAAGGACAACCAATCTTGTTTGTATAATCATAGACAAATAGAATAAATATAGTCTGTCAAAAGAAGGTTCCGGCGCCCACCTCTAGGTTTGCCGTGTAGTTACGGCGCACACCGCTAGCCGTATGTGACCAGTAGACGCTGCAGCAGTGTGCGCTGTAACTACACGGCAAACCTAGCGGTGGACGCCAGAACTTATGCTAACCGCAGCACAGCTGACGGTCTATATTTATTCTATTTTTCTATGGTATAATACACCATTTATGATTAAGTTTGTGTACCGAAGTAGACACCCCATCTATATGGACCAGCTCTAGCCTGTTTCTGTCCAAAGAGAACATGCTGTAGTTTATTGAAAAGCTCATAGGGTGTGCTACTTAACTCACAGTGTGCTTACTTACTCAAAATGGGTATCGAGTACAATGAAACGAAGTATCGAGTATCGGCGATTCTTCGAGGCATCGAGAATAAGAATCGGCCCATCCCTGCTTTTAACATATTCTTTAACAATACACTCTATGAGCTTGCAAAAATACCATGTTGAGTCTTATTTACAATTAATTCCTAATAACAGCAATTCACATTGATATCTTCCAAACAATGCATAGAAACTGAACGGCAGTGAAAAAAATTATAACAGGGATACCAACATATGAGCTTGTTCTGTCGTTTCAAAGTGTCTCTTGATAATTTTAATTTGAGTTACCGTAAAAAAAAAAACACTCTGTAGAAGATTACGTTAAAATTTACCAAGAAAGGTTTTGAAATTAAGTTTCCATGTTTGATTCTAGTACCTTGTCAAAAATTAAGGGAAACTGGATCAGTAGAAAACAAAAAAAAATTCACCTACTACACAAACTATTTGAGCTTGCGAAAAAGCCATTTTGAATCTTTCTTACAATAAATTTCCAATAACCCTAAACCTCATAAATAAAAGTGTGCAACAATGCATATAGTTTGATCGGCAATGAAGTAAAGAACACAGGATTATAAATGTATGGGTTTTTGCCGTTAAACAGTGTCTCACAGTACTTGTAATTTGGGTTGCGTTATAAAGAAAATACCATATACGTTTTATAACCAGGCCTACTCTGTAATATTTTAATGGTTCGTACTATTTTTGTTATCTTATAAAAGTTAATTTTCCACATGGTTTATCACTCTCGTTTTTTGTTTTTTTTTTCAGTATTATAACGCAGAAGTGACTGGTTTATCTAAGAAGACGTGTGTGGTTAAGTTTTTAGAATATGGAAATTTTGAGGAAGTCCTCCAAGCAGACTGTATACCTGCAACTGAGGTAAGGATGGTTTGTATTTGTAAGATGATTAAAAATTATTTAGAATGGAGAGGACACACCAAACTCAACTGAAGGAAGTTTACAGGCGAGTCACAGCACAAACAAATTGTATACACAATATAATTGATATTTCACCTACTTCAGAGGCTTCTTCAGAAGTTACAGAGGATAGGCCTAACAGTTTGAACACTGTTGTCTTTGTAAATGCTAAACCATCTGGCGAAATATCAAGTCTATTCAGTATATTATTTATTTATGCTGTGACTTGTCTGCAAACTTTCTTAAGTGAGTTAGTTGTGTCCTCTCCATCCTATATAATTTTTAAATCTAAGCTAAATGCTTTTACCAAAAATATAAAATCAAGATTAAAGAAGAGAAAGAGAACTCAAATCAAATCTAAAGCTCTTTATTTATTTCACGCACATTGGTACATATAAATAGTGTCAATTAATCACATTAGAAATGACCACTATTTAACACAATTTGTCCTCATATATACTTTTAGTTCTGTTGTGAACAAAAATGGAAAAACTCATCTAAAGAATAAATCGGTTTGTTTATTATGAATTCTTTAAGTTTGTTTTTAGATTTTTCAATATTATTTTCAGACTTTATCTTTTTGGTTAATACTTAAAAATGTCTTTCCCAAATATGTTGGTTTTTTTTTCTCGTAAAATTTTAATCTATGATGAGTTGGGATTATATCATTTGTTTGTCTTGTATTATACTTGTGGCATATGGAAGATTTAGCACTTACTGCCTCATTTTTCGAAATTAGTATGCAATCATAGATGTATTGTCCATAAACTGTTGGGATTTTAAGATTTACAAAGTGTTCCTCTTTGGCTGATTGATCATAATTTAGTTTAGAAAAAATTAATAATAGACTTAATGAGTTGTTAAAATTTTGGTCCAAACATAAAATGTCTTTAAAATGCACATTATTATTCCGATAGTATTAAACATCAGTAATTGATATCTGATCTGCTGAGAGCTGCTTCAAAGGCTCAGTAGATTGTATCAGCAAATTTCCTATGGAAAAGTGAGCTATCATCAGGGCCGGTTCTAGGAATTTTTCAGAGTTAAGCGAACACCCAAATCAGCGCCACTTAGGATTCCCCCCACCACCCCCCCTCCTCAAACCACTTAACCATATTTGTGAATTTTTCCCAATAATTTTGGGAACAACTTTTTTAGAAGTTTAAGTTAGAAGAATACTTACAATATAAGATTGTTTATTATTCGCAGAAATTTAACATTTTTACTTTTTTACTCATCATATAAACTTTAACAAAACCAAGGCCACACTAAAAACACAGGCCGTCATGTTCGTCAAGCATGACGTCACGATAGAAGACGGCAATGACATAATGTGTGCCGTTTGTGATCAGCTGCTTGATTTAATCTTTCCTTGGGAAATACATAAATAAATACCTACGTCATTGCCGTCTTCTATCTTGACTTCTTTGGGCTGACTGGACTCGCCACCAGATGATTTCAACAAAAATCTACCTACACATTGATTTGGCTTGTTTTTTATCTTCCTGTTCCAAATTCGCCTTACGATTTCTATAATAAGTGCCAGATGTTTTCTTTTTTTTCTTCCATTGTTTTCTTAGTATCGGCTCGCAATATACTTTCTTCTTATTTAATACGCTAATTATAAATTAAACATAAAACACTCGTAATCATTCACTTATCAACAATCATGAATCATCAAAACAACGCCAATACGATACCATTATGTATAAAACTAAAAGAGTGCAATACAACGTAATGCTCTGCTCTAGGATAAGAGGCAGAAGGGAGGGGAAAGTTTCTTGTTGTGACAAGTGGCGCTGCACGCTTGCTTATCTAGCTAGTATGAGTGAGTCGTGAAATGAAACCCACCGGCGCCGCGCAGTACGCTGCCAAGCGTCAGCTCACTACAAATCAAAACTGCAAATGGCATTGAGTCCTTGAGTAGTGCTTTACAAATATACACATTTTTCAAGTGCTGTTGGTACAAACAGAATAAATGCCTTTATTGTGGTATACTTGGACTCTGAGCGAAAATAAACAAAATTACGTTGTTCACGTAAAAAAAAAATTGTTCCGTTGGCGCCACTTTTTCGTGGCGCCATATGCGGCTGCGTAGTTCGCGTATGGGTTAAACCGGCCCTTTTGGCCCTGGCTATCATTTAAACTCAAGCTTGGAACTCTCTTAGAATTTTATTTCAGAATACACCGATAAACTTTTGAGAAGTTTTGAATGATTCATGAATGGACACATGTTTTTGAAACAGGAATTTCATTTCAGGATGCACTAATAACCTTTTGAAATGTTATGAATACTTTATGATTGAACATGTGTTTTTCAAAGAGGAATTTCATTTCAGGGTGCACTGATGACCTTTTGAGAAGTTTTGAATCCTTTTTAACTTGTCTGATTACGAGGACAAAGCGTTGTGTTATGTGTCCTTATAAGGAATTTAACTTAATTAATTTAATTTGATGAAAAAGTATTGATGAATTTGTTTAATCTTCTATGTTGTAATTGAATATTTCTGTTTCAGGAACCCTTGAGCCACTCTAACCAACACAGCAATGCAAACTCAACTCTTAATAGTAATAATAACCATTTTTCTGGTAAGCGGCTGCCTTTTTTTAGCTTCACTTATTGTTTAGATATTTTTGCAATATTTATGAACCATGATGATTATGACCACCTATCATAGTAATCTCGTAAATTTAGATTTAATTTAGTATATTTACTAATCAACGTTGCAGTCAATTTGAATACACACCAAATAAAGGTCCATCTACTATCTGATAAAACTGCTAATTAAAATATAAAATCTTCCAAACACTTTTGAAAAAATGCTTCGTAAAACTTTTGAAAGGAATGTCTTTAAGGTACAAAAATTGACCATAGTTTGTATTTTTTTTGCCATAATATGTTATTAACTGAGGTAGTATTTAATTGAGGAAATAAGGGCTGTTAGCCTGGGCAACAAAATTTGTAAGACCAACGCAACGACAGTGAAAATTATACACACAGAGGAAGGTATGAGCCTACTTGCTGGGCGACGATCGCGTGGTTTGTCTTTGGTCGTGAAAGTAACGCAAGAGGGGAATGACCAATCAGTTCTGCCTTATGTTTCGTGTTGTAGTCGCATGATCCACTATGAACACTCTCCGTTGCCATGACGGTCCCAAAGATTTTGTTGTCCATCTAGGACGGGGCCTTAGTACTCTGAAGTCAACTCATTGACCCCTGTCAAGTTTGTATACTGAGTAGTGCGTAGTAACAATGCTCTAGTTGGCCAAAATTTACTGCACTCTTGATATGTTAAATCAAAATCTTTATCCTATAAGGGTGTTCAAAAATGGTGGGGACAACTTGCATCTTGGATTTTCTCGCCATAAGAGCAATGTTAATTTTGTTATTTTCAAGCAGCCTCTGAAGAATTATTTACCACCTAAAATTATTTTTTCAAATACCAATGTGATTGTAATTTAAATATCTAGTATACTGTGGGATTACAGATTTGCTATGTAGTTTTTTATTTGTTTTATGAGTTAGAATGTCTAGGCTCCAAGGACTCTTAAATTACAAAAAAATGGCTGATTTTATGAAAAAATTCCAAGAACACTTTTATTTAGCATTTTAAATTCCCTATCACACGATACCAAGTTCAAAAAGATAAAGATTAAATAAGAAATAACTAAAATATCACGATTTTTATTCATTTCTGCTGTAAAATGGGATAGAATTTGAAGGTAGAAAGGAGCTAGTCAGGTTTGCCCCATTTTACAACTAAAATCGTAATATTTTAGCTATTTCTTATTCGATCTTTTTGAACTTTGTATCGTTTTATAGGGAATTTAAAATGGTAAATAAAAGTGTTCTTTACATTTTTCCATTAAATCATCAAACTTTTAGTAGTTTTAGTTTAAAAAACTAAAATGTCAGCTATTTTGAAATTTCAAGATGAATGTTTATCTGACATGGGTCTCGGCTGTCTTAAAATTCATACCAAGTTTCATAAAGAACGGGAAGTGATTTTTGAAAAATGTTTTTCTTGATTTTCTCTTTATTTTGACCCAAGGAATCACTAGGTAAATTATGTTCCCACCTTTTTCTGAACACCCTGTATGTTGATGTACCATCCATCAGTTAGCTTGAAATTTTGAAAAATTATTTTATATACCTGCCTGGGAAGGTTTCTTTTCTGCTGATCACAAAATCCCTTAGGGCTCTGTTCACCAGACTTACCTTGTCAAGCTGAGAGTTGAGAATTATTTTATTGATTGAGTTCCTGGTTAATATTAGGAAAGTTACAATTTTATGATTGTTTGCCCAGCAACAATTTTTTCAAATGATTTTTTCTGTACACTTTCTCACTTGTAATTGACACTAATAAAATATGTTGTAAAATTGTGTGGTCCCTGTAACTGGTTTCTATGAAACAGTAAGACAATGTCCATGTTTACGTGTAATGCTAATTTTTTATTTTTTATTTGTGTCATACAGGAATTCTCGAGTTCCGGCGAGGTGGAACGCGTCCATACATCAAGTCGGTGGACAGCAGCCATCGTAAGGCGCAGCGCAATTCACAACAGATGTATGTTCCTCCCGCACAACGTAAAGACTAATGTATATAGTCGTGTTGTACGAAACGCATTACAAACACGATAATGTCACATCAACACTTTCCTTACAGTCTTTTTTGGTCAGTAATTATTTGGAAAACCAAAGTTTGGCCAAAAGAAACAGTTATGAATCTGTAATATTCTGTTTATTCTATTTTTGAGAATACATTGAATCGTATGTGATCACAGTAAGAGTGTATAAAACTGGAGAGTGTGTTGCTTTTGTTATCTTCTCAAAGTTAAAAATCCACACAACTTTCACTTGAAGACACTGGACAAGAATAATATCCCTTTAATGAAAACAGCTGGTCTTAGTCTGTAACAAAGGTACACGTGGCACGTCACTTCACTATACCATCATACTTCTCTCATATTTGGGTAAAAAATACACACCTAGGTGGCGTCCCCATCTCAATTGCCAATGATCGGCAATAGTACATTGAATTGGAAAAAATATGTGTTTTTAGCTTAGAGGAGAAGTTTGAATGTCAAGTTGTGCAAGTGAAGTTGTCAATTTATATAATTTTTTTTCATTTATGTTGTTCAAGTTTTGTTGATTTTTTATCAATGCTGGTATTTTTCATTGCAAACCCTGACTACTTTATAATTTGTATTTAGAACCAAACTTCTTTAGATCATTAAGAATCTATTGATTATGTCTATACTGTCCTCAAACTCTGTTGATCAAACTCTGTTTCTTACGCAAATTTGGATATTTTACTGACCTGCAGTAACATGTTAATCATTGTTGAATGTTGATGTGACAACCGTTCTCTTAGTAGTTAAGTCGAGTTTGACTCAACATTGTGTTATGACAGCCTTAGTTGTATTAACAGCTTTATGTTTACTTAAATCATATAACCTAATATTGTATTTTTGTTATGTTGAATCATTGTAAAAATATTTATTGTTGTCAAGTAATGTTTTGTTGACTATAAGGTGTACTTTGTCCGTATTTTGTTTTAAAATTATTGTGTTATTTTTTTCAAATTATTGTAGTAAAATAAATTAAACATTTCTTAAATCATTTATTGTTTTTTTTTTACACCTTAATGTATTTAGGTATAAAATAACATTTTCAATGCAATTACTACCGTCCAAACTCACTTTAGTAATTTAATTTTCTTTCAAAAACCTTCAAGCTTTAATCAAACTAATATACACACAGTTTGATGTGTACCTAATGTGTGCAGTGTATTTAGGGGGATTGCCATTTGTAAAATGCAAGGAGAAATGCATAGAACTACTGTATTGAACAAATTAAAATGTCCCTTTTTGTCCCTTTTACCCATCATTTTAGGACCTTTTGGCCAATGTTCTGAACATCCCCCACAATGTCACGGAATTACAGATAATAACTACCCATATTATAACTATAATTTTATGTCACCTTATTAATTATTTAAAAATTTGTATATGAAAATAAATCTAAATGTTATCCGTGCCCAGGCTATAACTTCATCTCCATAAGTTAAAAGGTTTGCTTTAAAGGAGACAAACAAGATTGTTATGATTAAATCTTAAAAGCCTACAATTAAATACAACCATGCAAAAATAAAAATTCCATGAAGATATGTTTCTAAATAAAAATAAGTAATCTACAGTATTGTAATTATTTATTCTTCGTAAAGGACTCTGTATATTTTTTCTACATTAAAACAAATTTAATTATTATTAATCAAGTTCTTCTGTTGCGTCTTGTATCTATCTTAACTCAGCCTATAAATTGTATACCGAGGGGAACCTGCTCGCGGCTCTGGAACAAATAAAACATTAGGTTAGTTTTTTCTCTTTTTTAATCTACGTGGCAAAGTTCAGAACCACCATATGAACATAAGGAACTCTCAATCATGAGTGGTTAAAATAAAACCAATTCACAAGTGTAAGGAAATTTTGGGTCTGATATATTCCAAGCCATTGGTTTCTTTGCAATATTAATGCTGCCATAGAACACAGTTGGCAGGAGGAACAAAGTTATGTAGTTGTTATGCAATCTCCAATATATAATGTTATTATACAAATTTTGAAAAGCAATAATAATTAAGACTTACTCAATGTTCCTTTATACAAAATGCAACTGTAAAAAAATAGAAAAAAAATTGTAGCAAACAGAAACAACACATAACAATATTTTTATTATACTCTCTTGTCTATGCAAATTGAGGTCTGCATGATTTGATGGATAAGCCAAAACCTACGAGTACCATTGGACACTGAAGTAGGTATATACCTTCTATATGAACCAGGTGTCGCCCATTATTTATTAGAAAAGAACATACCCTAGTTTAAGAGTTATTATCTAAAAGCATTGGTTTCTCTGTATAAATCCCAAGTAAATTGTTTCCATATCTCATTACCCTTGTGACATGTAATGTTAAACAAATATTCATGCCTTTCATATGGGGGAAAACACGTTGACATACAGTCTAACCTTTATATAACGAACCTCGATATAACGAATTCCTTGATATAACGAATTTTTTTTAATCCCCTAGAACTCTCCATAAGACACAATGTATATTTTACCTCTACATAACGAACAAACCATAACAACGACCTTGATTTAACGAATTTTTCGTGATTTCGGCTAAAATAAGACACCTCAATATAACGAATTTGTCATTGTCAGAACCTCTACATTGCGAATTTAACCTCTGTATAACGAATTAGCTACGTCTTTCCCTCGATATAACAAATCCCCCACCCAATTATTGTTTTGGGAAAATCTGTTTCTTTATCAAATGGAATGGAAAGGTCACGTCATCGCTTGCGCTAACATTCGTCTGCTCCGTTTTACATCTTTGTCTGCTGTCGCTGCGCGCGCAATGTTGCAACTGAGAACTGAACTGAACTGATTTCATTTACTGAGGACTGATGACGACGTAATGTTAAGTAAGCTGTGATTGGGCGATATGGGATAACTATGGTGAATTGTACAATTTTTGGATAAAGAGAAAACTAAGGAAGAATAAAAACAAAACCAAAGAGAAAGAATAGCAACATCGTTATCTAACATTCGTTTTACGACTGTTTTTATTATCCTTAAGTTGGCTATGATTATATACTTAATAATGACTTATCTAATAATTTATTGTTTTCAATACGATTTGTTTCAACTAGCAACACCAATGCTATAGTTAATGATTATTATTGACATTCCTCTGTTGTGATAAATCAGTACTGTACTTTAAGGGGCGGTTCACGAGCTCGGGACTTCATAGTCCGCGACCAGACGTTGGTCCCGGACTATATAAGCGACGACCAAAAAATGGGTTCACGAGTCAGAGCCTAATGATGTGAAAGCCGGGCCCATTGTAGGTCGAGACCAAATCCATAGCGGAGCCTAATGACAGGGATTCGCAGGGAATTTCTGTTGAGACGTTGGTAACAACCAGTAACAACAGTCTGGAAACAAATGTGAAGCCACTGCTGTTGACATACGCACTTCCATACAATAGGATGATCGTGAAAAAGGGCTGAACCAAAACGTCCAAACCGATTATTTTTCCCGTTTTTCATTGTCCCAATGCTCGCCTATGATAATCTATCTAAGTTTATTGATTTATAAACACAACAATCCACGTTTGTATGAAATCAGATAATAGAAGTCTTTTTCTGTGTACATTAAGGTCGATTCACACACATCAGTCCAGTCACAGTTCCGTTACAGTGCAGTTGCAGTCCAGTTACAGTCCAGTCGCAGTTGCATCCGCAATTTCCCAGTCAATTGTCCGTCAGTTGGTTTCAGTCAGTCTTCCGTCTAATATTTATAGTAATTTACAGTCAAAAAATTTAAATTTTAAACCTATATTCTATTAAATTATCATTGTCCATCTTGTTGATTGTTACAAACAGTACTCAAAATACAAACGCAACCATTTTAACAACAATAACACTATTTTCTAACCTCAAACAGTTCCGTCAGGCGTCCGAAGAATCAAAAAGTATCGTTGGAAAGAAATCTGAAATTGACTGACGGATGCCAGCAGAGTGACTGACGGGACTGCAACGGATGAGTGTAGATAGCGCAATAGAAAATCCATCAAAGAATATTTTTGATAACTGTGACGTGCCTGAAGTGACTTTACTGTGACGTGCCGTAACTGATGTGTGTGAATCGACCTTTATTATAATTCAATTAAGATGCATGACAGAAAATAACTGGGTAGGCCTATTTATAACCGGATGAATGCCTATTTTGCATAAATGCCCGATAATTAAGGATGGTGATTTTTGGATAGGATAATTTTAACTAAACTTATTTAAATGGTACAATTATTGAAACTAAAATGTATTTAGAGGTACTGATTATTAGATATAAAAATCGTATGTGTGTGCTGGATTTAATCGTGGCTGTAAACAAAGAATATTCTTTCCGTTATTCTTCCACTCTATGTAAATCTAACTGTAAAATGTCGAAAATAATATTCTGCAATTAGCTCGTAATATGATTTATGTTAACAGCTATGGTTTTTAATTTACATTTTGTGTTGTTGCGATTTTTAAAATCAGTTTCATTACAATGCGTTTATATTTACTAGGTAGGAAGGATTTACTAGTATTATATTATATTTACTAGTAGGAAAACATAGTTTTTTTTTCTTTGGGCATAGTTTTGAACTGAAAATTTGATTTGTTCTGCTTTCATTACCAAACAAATAGCTACCATCAAAACTTTACTAACATCCAATAAATCACCAGTTTCTCGATGAAAAGTGCCATCAGCCAAAAATATTAGTGCAACTGACATTTTTTTCAATTTAGAATACTGTAATGGATTTTGCTGTCGGGAAATCCGTGCCTTGGAGTGAACGCCTCAAATGACTCATTGACGGCATCTTTGGACACATTTTAATCTATCTTTAAATTCATCAAGTCATAAAAGGGTTTTAGTCATGATAACGAGCTGGTCCTATGCGAGGTAGTGGAGTGATGGTACATAATTGTTAACATAATACAGTATAGATATTTCATAGTCATATTCAATACACATGGCGACCAGTGAGTACAACACAAGACGGTGATATCACCGCGAACCGTACTCAACGACTGACGGTTTGCTTGATGTTTCCCACGGCAAAAAATTATTTCTGATAATTATGTTGGATAACGATGGTTTAACTGTGGCTGATTAGTTATATTTATATTCTACGCATAATTTTGTCGTTAAAATTGTAATAACATGGGGTTTATCAGTAAAATATCTTTGTTATGATACTACTTTGTTACGTGCATAATTTATCTGTCGTTTTAAGTTGTTTTATGATTTTTTTCATGTTTTATGATCCTTTTTACCATTTTTACATATTTTTTAAATATGGTGTTGTGGGTAATGAAACTGTTCGGAATTTAATGAGGAACCATATTTAAACATTAGTTTTTAACAAATAATAAAAATAAAGGAGCTAATTAGATAAAACCGGCATCATGTCACGTTAAACCTGCCTCCTACCAGGTCTGAGTTGGAGACCAAACACCATTGTTCTTTTGGGCCCGAACCATCTCATTTGGGCTCGGACTTGACTCGTGAACCCACCGGGACTAATGATCAGAGCCGGGACTATCTGTAATTGGACTCGTGAACCCAACTTTTAAAACCGGGTTTTATCCCTGCACTAATTGTGTGCCGCCTATCAGTTTGGTCCGCGGCTTATATAGTCTCGAGCTCGTGAACCCGATTTTTTAAGTCGCGGCCCAAATACCGGTTATTTCCGGATTCTGGGCTCGGACTACGATAGTCCCGAGCTCGTGAACCGCCCCTAAGTAGCCTACCGGTATCACGAGCAGTAGCTTACAAAGCTTTCTACTGTTTTGTTTTGTTCTTTGTATGGTTTATGACTACGCAATACAGTGTTTGGCTAGGTTTTAGGAGGGTTAGAACAAGCTGTGATTTTAAACTTACAGTTTTTAACCTGTACCAAGGTCAATGCCATTGTCATGATTGCGCAATATTCAAGATCCCTCCCCTTTATTATGCCATGCCGGATAGTTTAGGTTCTACTGTACAATGTAAACACTGTACTGTAAAGTATTGTAGCCTATGCTACTTTAATTGTATTTTAATGAGGTCAAATCCCGACCTATATTGACCGACGCTGGTTCTGAACCTCGACTTAGCGAAATTCCTGCAAACCTAACCTCTATATAACGAACCTCGTTTAAACAAAATCCTTGATTAAATTCTTGGTTTAAAGCTAATGGCCTTCTTTTAAATAAAAATAAAACTTTTGCTATTAATTTTCATTCCAACTACTCCAATTCAAAATACTCTGATGACTCTTATTGCAGACAGCAGATAGTTATAAATTCTTAGGGTTACACGTTGATCCTTCTTTGAAGTGGGATGAGCATGTAAATTTTTTATCAAAAATTCTCCATAAAGGTCATTTTCTAATTCTAAACTTATCAAAAATCCTGGAGATAAACATTTTGAAAATGGTTTACTATGCATATATCTATTCAAACTTAACATATGGAGTGATATTTTGGGGCAACTCACAGTCTTCTCCAGCAATATTTAAGATTCAGAAAAGCATTGTCCGTGCTATGACAAATTCCCCCTATACTGCATCAGCCAAACCAATTTTCAGGAAACTAGATATTCTGCCTTTACCTTGCATTTTCATTCTACATACCCTTCTATTTGTTAAAGAAAATTTTCACAAATTCACTCTTTTAAAATCTACACATAACTATCCTACACGTAATTGTAATCTTTCTTTGCCGATACATCGAACAGCAGCTTTTGAAAAGACACCATTCTATACAGGCAGCCGATTATTTAATAAACTACCTTCTCATATTCGCAATGAATCAATCAATCAATTCTTCTGCCAAAGCATTTAAAAGAAAACTTGTTAACTATCTAAAGAGCCATATGTTTTATTCAGTAGAGGATTTCATTTTATATAGTAATAGTGGTTTGTAAAATGGTTCATGTGGAGAGTTTGTTTTCTCATTATGTTTAAGTTACATTAATTTAGTTTTTAACATTTTTGTATCATATTTTTGACATGTCATCTACCATTGAGGAAACTCCTCTGTATATGGTGTAATTTGTGACAATTTACATGAATAAATGAATAAATGATATAACGAATATTCAGTTCGGTCCCTTCAGATTCGTTATACTGAGGTTGGACTGTATTTGTCTGCGTGTCTGTTAATTTCTATTAGTTTTACCATTGATAAAACATCTCCCTTAGTAGATTTCTCATGCTTATGGAACAGCTGAAGACTATTTTATTGTTAGTTCTGTATGGTGTACTGCAGAGGTCGTGTTTTGTTTACAATTTGTTTCATGTTATTTCAGTAATTTAAAACCTCGTTTAACCAAATAATACGATCTAATCATAAACAATAACTCATTCTCTAGTTCAAACAGTAAGGACAACAGTAAACACAAATCAATAAATGAACGCTAAAGTAAAAGAAACAAAATTTCGCCAACACTAGCAGCCATTGTCACCGTACATGAACTAGACACGATAAACAAGCTTCAAAAATTACAATGGGATGAGAAGTCTACTTGTGTTGGTTAGTTTATTGTTTTACCCAAGAGTTGGGGATCTTCAAACATATGCTGGTCGACAAGATACTGAGGTCTCTTATGCTCAGGGTGTGCTGTCATCCATCTACAATACTCTTTTGTTGACCTGCAATAGAAATTGAACTTAGCAATATTGAAATCCGAAATATTTAAATAGTTTGACCATATCAGTTTTTATAGCAAATTTCTCATAAATATAAAAATGTTAAGGAAATGTTTTAGTGGAATTTAACCAAGTAAATTGAACATCACTTAGTCTACAGGTTTTCTGCGGTGAGGGTATTGAACCTGTGACTCTAACAGTAAAAAAATACCGACCACTGGAACAGCAAACAATAGTAAATTAAGTGTCTGCAGGTGGTCTTTTTCAATCCACCACCACTCCACCACTATTATTTTAATAATTTGTTAAACATATCAAAACTCTACAAACTACAAAACAATGATTGCGGACATAATCCATTTGTTCCAAGTTTCAAAACTAGTTTGATTTATCCTAGCATTATCCCTGTGATGCTGGTAATATCATTGTTTACTGCACTATAGGAACAACTATATTATTTATGATTTGTGTATAGAGTTGTTTTTGAACTACTTCACCTCAAATCTTTGATGTCCTTGTAAACATCAGCAAAGCTAAGCTGCTCCTCTGACAGTTTGTTCCATTCCAGCCAAGTTTCTGAAGTTTTGTTCTTCGGAGTTTTAAAGCGTAAATACTTTGGCAAAACTCGGCCGAATGCTGTTAGTCTGGACGGTTTCTTCTCAATTTCTGCGTCCCATATTAAGTGTTTTAAAAGTACTTCGTGGAAAGATTTCTGAAAAATTTAAACGTGTCAAATTTGGATTGATAGGGCAAAATGAAAATCATTTGAAGATTTATTAAAATTAGGTAACAAAGTTAACCTGATTTAAATACTACTTGTATTATATTTATTGTAATACTAGCAGAGTACCCGTCCTTCGTACGGGGTTGGAATATAAGTATAAAATGCTTATTGCAGTTATACTCAAGCTTTGCGTTTGCAATAAGGGAGGACACAGTTTGATAAAATTTGCTTTTTTAAATTTACAGTATTCTATATCATTACACATCTACCATAGCCATAATGTTCTACCACTTCACCTAAACAATAGAGAAAAATAAATTATCAACAATTCGCAAAATATCACAAATTATTTATGAAATGAAAAACATAAACATAACTGTAAACAATCCTACTTTGACAGTTCTCATTGCGAATCACAGTTTTTTGTTGCTGCTTAGTTCAAATTAGCTGTTTTCATAAATGCAAAAAATATAGTGCTGCACCCTGTTGGTAAATCTTATAACTTTTTAATGCTTTTCCATATCATAGAACCAACTTTTTTAGTTGAAACAGTTGACTAAATTCTTTAATTCCCTTTAAATATGAATACTCATAAGGTTAACATGGGGAATTACAGAGCCACTGGGGTGGAGCCCGAAAGGATTTTTGAGATAAGAATATGTCTATATGTTAATCGTGAATGTAAGCTATCATCATGCCAAATTTCAGCCCAATCCGCCCAGTGGTTTATAATGCGTGATTGAACTTCAAACACACAAACAAACACACAAACTTTCACATTTATAATATTAGTAAGATAATTTCATATGCTTACTTCTGGCATCTACAGGAATGTCGCCAGGTTATAGTAGAGGACTTTCTTCTCCCTGGTTTTCATGCAAATCGCTCGAGATGCTGGGTTGTCCATTCCAATTTGGAACAGTTCTTTGACAATCTCCTCGCTAATAAATGACTTCTCGTCACCACCCAGCTCCTTGATCCACTTGCAGAAGTCAACAGCAATCTGGAATAACAGTGTATAGCAAACGTCATAGTGGTAATTCTTTTATATCAGATCCCACATTGTGCACTAATTGTAAACTGTGGCAATGAATTGAAAAGGTAATTTAATAATAAATTTGTTTACGGAAAAATTTTTATTTTTGCTGTTGATAAAAAAAATTAGAGATGATAATCAACATTTCTCCAGCTAGCAGAGGTGGCTAACCTAGCATCATATGCTAACCAATATGCTGCACCTCCCGTATGATTAGATTTCATTTTCTTACAAACCCAAAATATCAGAGTGCATATTTTAAGGTAGAGATGACTGAATAATGATTTATGAATGAATGACATGATAGCGTCTCCGGCTAAGATAAGCTCTTCATTTTGCCAAGACCATTAATTTGTTGAAAGGCCAACGATCAAGGACATTTAAATCCAGTTTTGACGCATTAAAAAGCTATTAACTTTTCTCAGGATCAAACCATTATTAGATGGGCATAGCAGGTTCAGAAAGTTCAAGATAGACTTGCATCTCATCATCGTCTGCTTCCCCTACCTTGTTGATTAGGAAGTCACCCTTCTCCTCCAGTGTCATCTGCCTGAGATCACTGACATCTTTAGCATCTTTCACTCTCCAAGACGCAGCCTCTTCCTCTGGCAGATTGAGGAACCTTAAGATTGCTTTTTGGCGTAACATCATTTGCCGGTCAAACTTACTATGGAGAACAAGCATAATCGTCATTCATATAACGTAAATTGAGCAGTATAGCATTCATAACAAATTCCCTTTCCTCCAACCTTAACGAAACATAAGAACTGTAGATTGGTTATTAACATTAGAAAGCTTCAAAAATTCGATAAAAATATACCTCTTACCTACTTCTAAAATTTTCTGTTTCTATGTGCTATGGACTTGAAAAAGACAGAAAATAACAAATTAAATTGATGAAAACTGTACGTATACAGTATCAAAGTAAAGTTACTGTTTCTTCTCATAGTTACAAAGGGTTTACAGGAAAAACGTCATCATAGAAATTTAAAATAATGACTAGGCTAATAATAATAATGAATAAACCTGAATAAAAAGCCTTACACTTTGCTTTCCACTTCAACCACATCTGAAGAGCCATCGTAATCATAAATGTCCTCATTTTTCTCAGGTTCGACCTGAACCTCATTTTGACTTTCTGTTTGAGACACAACCGTTCTTGTAAGAGATTCATATTGAGAAGGTGTTGAGTATCCAGACAGTACGCTTTGTACTGTGGACGCCTAAAAGTTAAACAAACATAATAATGAAAAACACATGAAGTTTTGGTGGATTAAAAAGATCAGCTATCAAAGGTTTCTAGTTTTTTTATGGAATGTGGTCATTTTTTGTTATGAACATCTAGAAAATGAGTAGAAGAAAGATTCAGACCATATTTTAAAGCTTCTATTTGATATTTTAAAAGATTACATGATTGGAATTTCAATCAATTGCAAGTGATCATTTTAACAAATCTTACAAGGTTATTTTCTAAAAAAAATTTCTAAATTGCAATTTTTCACTATACTTTCTCACAAAATCTTTATAATAGGCCTACTAATTCTGCTGAATCGAGGTTGTTTTACGTTTAATATATTTGAAATAATTATATTTTAATTAATATTGATATTCAAGAATTTTATCTTTGTAACCTCTCAGTTTACATTATATACCAAAAACGTCAATATTTGAATTTAGTTTGTTTACTACAGGAATTAAATGTTGCTACCTGATTAAAATGTATTAGTTCTTAAATAATTGTTAGAAGTTACTCTTTAATTAAATGTGGACAAACATTTGATTTATTGAGTAAGATTTTTTCAAGCTTTAATACAACTACAGACATCTAAAGTGGCAGATAAGACTGGATGTTTTTTAAACTTTCAAGCCAAAGCAGAAAAATTGTGATTGGTTCCAGAATGAATCTCTAGCACTTTCAGGTTTGAAAGTAAGCACCTTCAATTCTAAATTAAATTCTATTATTTATATTATTCTATTATTCTATTATTTTGACTCCTTGAACAATGCCAATTTGTCTGCTGCAAAGAAGGTTGCTCAAAAGCTCTCAGATTATTTTGGTGAAAAAACGTGTATGGCTGAATTTCTGTCATTGAATGCTGTGGGCACAGCAGTCGAACAGCTATGACTGTGGTGTGATCTCCTGCTGGGTCGTAGAGTCTTTGGTAGATGACATTATCACTACTGGGTCATTAAATGTGCAGTATCTCCAGAATTGTAAACTCACCAATGAAGACGTGATTTTAAAACGCTCAATACTTGCATATCTTCTGCATGATTCCACAGCATTAAACAACGGATTGTTTTACAATTTGTTGATTAAAAAAGGAGGTAAAGTCAAGGAAAATAAAAGGTTGTGTAATACAGAGAAAACTTCAGCTACACCTAATTCACAATCCTGGACCCAAATACAACCTAGAGCTAAAAGAAATCATATTAAAACTAAAAAGGCATTGACAAAAGAACCTGAAATAGTAACAACAAATAAGTTTTCTGTTCTTGACAAACAAAGTAACCAGGATATTACCAAGGCAAATAGACCCGATAGAGAACTCATGACACCGGAAGACTCCATGACAAAGCCTACAGCACTTCAGATTGATAACACTAGGCCTAAAAGAAGAACAAGAAGAACTAGCCAAGGAACTACAACTACATGTCCTGATATTAATCTAACATTCTGCTCGGACAGTCAAGGTAGAAATGTAGCCAACAAGATTGAAACCTACAGCTTGGGCAAAATTAACACGTTTGGCTATGTACGAGCCAATACCACTCTACTGCAGGTTGTGGACTCAGCATCCATAGATAACAACAAGAATTACCCTTTAGTCATACTTGGAGGCACTAATGACAGTCTGAATGGAAACCTATCTGATATATATGTACATCTAGAACACAAACTTACCCAAATTAGCAAATCCAGACCAGTATTCTTATGTACTGTACCAACAAGACATGACAAACCCATGAATCACTTTGAAAATTTAAATATAGAGACGGTAAACAACTATCTCCATGAATTAACAGCTAGAAGTGACAATGTGCATCTAATCAATTTAAGTGAACTCAAAAGATATCACTACACATCCCATGGACTGCACCTCAATAACAAAGGCAAAACTAAATTAGCACATATTATAATTGACTGTTTAAAAAAGTGGTACAGCAACCGAAAAAATGCTAGGCCTACTGTTCTCACGAGTACACATGGCCTGAACTCTGGTACAGCCACAGCACTCATACAAAATCAAACAGTAACAGTTACAGCTACAAATCAAGACAACCCTGGAATTACTGTAATTGAGGCTGACATGAAAGTTGTTATTCAAGAACAAAAATGTAATGTAGATGTTGCTTTCGCTCATTGTATTTCAGCTGATTTCACTCATGAAAAAAACATGAGTGCAGGAGTAGCTGTAGCTTTTAAAGAGTGTTTTGGTAAACCATGTGATTCGGACTACTGTAACTCTAATTTAACACAGCAGAAAGTTAACAATGGGCCATCAGTTTTTGGCTTGGTCACTAAATCAAGGTACTACCAAAAACCAAGACATAACAAGTACATATTTTACAACAATGCTTTTGATCAACTAATAGAAGAATTTAATAAACAAAATTTGAAAACCCTAATTTGTTCTCCTATGGGATGCTCCAGAGATCATGTCACGCCTGCACACTTTGCAAAAAATATAGTGAAATTTCAAAGGTCAACTAATGCATCAGTTATCATCATAACTTCAGATGAAAGAACCAACACCAACATTAGAAATGGCCTTTCGCATGCTGCGTTTATCACAAGTCTCAGAGAAGCTATCGCTGTCAAAACTTCTAGTACTGGTATCCATAACATCCAACAACACACTGATGCAACCAGAACTACAACAGCAGTTCACAAAGATGTTAATGTCTACAGCCAACTACAAGAGGAAGATGATACCTCCCAGTCCAGTTTGAGAATTTCACCTTCAACTGTGTCAAGTGATGGGGGGTTGGCTGTCAGTGGGTGTGCTAGTGTCAGTGCGGTATCTGGTGCCGGCGTAATGCATAGCCTCTCTGCCCTATGTACACTTCAACTCCCTCCTCAAACCCGAAATATTAATATAAATTGTAATCTAGAAGCTAAGGATAAAGTAAGCAACGTTATATCTTGTACACCACCAACTGTAACAGACAACCCGCCTTCAAAAAACTTATTAAAGATGCCAAAAGAAATCACTTAAATTTAACCAACAAAAGTTTTAAATTGGATATATTTCATTTAAATATACAACACCTGCCATCTAGAATAGATTCTTTACAGATAACAGTTGAAGAATTAAATCCCGATTTAATATTAATTAATGAGCATAAAATGACAGATTTAGAACTTTCGAGATTTAATTTAAATAACTATTGTATTCACTCATCTTTTGCAAGAAGTAGATCTGGTGGTGGTGGTGTCTTGATCCTTGGTAAAATCAATGGAAATGTAAAACATAGAAAAATAAATATTTTGGAAAATACCAACATAATATGTGAAAAAGAATTTGAGTGTTGTATTACAGAGTACAAGCATAATAGTTTAAAGCTTTTACTAGTAGCAATATATCGATCCCCTTCTGTAAAAATTAATCTCTTTTTAGAGAAGCTTGACTCTTTATTAAATTTATTGTTGAAACATTTTAAAAACATTGTAATTGTTGGAGACATAAATATTAATGTATTGGACACTACTTACAGGAAAATGCTTAATGACGTACTACAGGTATATAGCATGAGATATCTTGTAAACTTTCCTACTCGTGTTACATATATGTCAGAATCAGCTCTAGATAATGTATTGACAAATGTTTTAGATTATAAGATGAATGTTACTGGAGTGAATACCCAGATATCTGATCACGATGGATTATTGTTGCAGATTAGTTGCCTAAATAATAAGTTCACAAACCAAAATGTTTTGACTCCAAATAAAATAACTGTAAAAGAAGTAAGAGACTTTAGTGAAAAAAATTTACACATGTTTACTAAATTATTAGATCATGAAAACTGGATAGATGTTTACAACGCAAATGTTATGGAGAAATTTGACACTTTTCATAGAATTTTTATGTTTTATTTTAATACATGCTTTCCTAAGTTTAAAAAACGATGCAAACAATCAAATAATATTTGGATAACAGATGATTTGAAGAATGAAAAATCTAAAATTGTAAACATGAGTAAAATGGCACGTAACACAAAAAATAAAATTTTATTTGATAAAGCCAAAAGTCTGAATAAGGATTTTAGAAAAAAAGTCATTGCTACTAAAAAAAAACATTTTGAGACTAAGGTTAAGCAATCTAGTAATGTATGTAAAACTACCTGGAAAATCCTTAATAATGAGGTCTCCAACAAGAAACCAGCATTTAGTAATATTGAAATAGATTTTAATCATACATTGTTTACTGATCCTGGAGATATTAGCTTAATATTTAATGATTTTTTGAGCACCTATGTAACCTCATCAATACTTCCTCACCTTGCACAAAATAGCAACACACATGTCAACAAGCCAATTCAACAAGTCTCCCAAACTAAATTTAGGTTAAAACCAGTCACAGATAGTGAAGTTTTAAAAATTATCAGTTCCTTTGATAACAAACTTTCAACTGGTTTTGATGAGATACCCATGACAATATTAAAGCATGCTTGCTATCAGTTAGTGAAACCTCTTGTGCATTTAATTAACTCATCTTTTGTTAGTGGATTATTTCCTTCTAAATTAAAAATTGCTAAAGTTATTCCTCTTTATAAAAACAACGATTCTAAAAAAATAACCAATTACCGTCCTCTTTCGCTATTACCTACCATTTCAAAAATATATGAGAAAGCAGTTTACATACAACTGACGAACTATCTGGAAACATATTCTTTACATGATAATAATCAGCATGGCTTCAGATCAGGAAGATCAGTTACAACTGCAGCAATAGATTTTATAGAATCAGTAATAAACTCTCTTGACAAAGGTGAAACAACAGTTGGCATATTTTTAGACTTAAGTAAGGCTTTTGACAGTGTGTCACATACAATTCTTTTAGATAAAATCAGAAGTTTGGGCATTGATGGCATTTCGTTTGAATGGTTTAGATCATATATTTCTAACAGATATCAATACGTTGTAATTAAAAATTTGACAAATAACAGGTTAATCTCAAGATCTTCTCCTCTTACAGAGATTCACCATGGGGTACCCCAA